TCATGGCCTAATCCTTGAGAAAGAGAACTTCAAGCTCTACTTGTCTCCTTTCAGAATGAGTCAAAGTATTTTAAAAAGCAACAAAAATGTGAAATCCCTTGATGAAGTGTTTTTGAAATGTCCTGGACGTGTCTGTAGGAACAGTCAAATATTATCTAACTCTGTTCATTTTTTAAAGTGGAAAACAACTAAATTTACACAAATATAGGCAAACGGCTCCTTCCAAAAGGAATCAGTATTAAATACTGGGGTGGTGGTGTGCAGAAAGGAATCAGAGTGGGAGAAACTGAGCAACTGGGGGTAGGATGGAGGTGACCTGGGGGGTGGGGAGGAGATACCATCTGGAGTAATGGAAACTCTCTAGGAATATGACAATTAGGGACAACATATATGACTATGAGAATTAACTAACCCTCTCCACCCACATGGAGAACCCAGTTACCAACACTCCAGTGAATCAGAGACGTGAAGGATTAAAAACAAAAAGGAATCAAATACAGATTTCTGTACAAAGTGTGAGGTCACAGCCTTGACCTTCAGGACAGTGTTTTGACACCAACCTTATCAGTCAGGAGGTAGGTCCCTGGGACTGCAGTTTACAGTTCTGCTAACGTTCTGGCACAGCAAATGGGCTTCCCCTTTCTGATGCAGAAGACAGATGAACACAGTGAAGATCTCTGATGGGCAAAGAAACACCCACGCAGTAAAAGGAAAATCCAGTTAGTAATAATTAGCAGTTGCTATCAAGTCAGTGCTCACTCTGTGCCATATACTGTGCAGAAAGATTTACTCACAGCCTCTCTTCACCCTTTCAATCATTCTCAGAAGTGGTTGTTATTTCCATTTACAGAAAAGGGGTCCAAGACACAGAGGAATTTTCCCGAGGTCTAAGGACAAGATCTAAATGCATGTTTATTAAACAACAAAGTCCAACCTCTTCACCCCTGGCCAGATTACCTGAAAGTTACCCAAAAGGCTGTTTGAAGAGAAGGAAGGAAGCTGACTTACCTGGACTGGAGCAAGATTGTAGGAGAATCATGGCCTCGGTGATGACTAGAATTATTTAATACATTGAATAAACATCAGATTATCAAAATTAGGTTAAATGCACTTTAACATACTTGAATGCATACAATTAGTAAGTACCCAAGCCAGGATAAATTATGAGCTAATTTAACAATGTATACCAGGATTTATATAGCCCAGAGTGAAGTTCCCTTGGAAACAGTCATTTAAGGAGACTCCATTTTATTCCATTGTTGAGTGTCTTGTGGAATTAACATTTGGAATTAACTTTCAAGTATTACTGCGTTCTTGGAGTATTCTTGGTGGTAGAAAACTCATGTTCTTAAAAGGTAAATTTGATTTCTAACAACTACAAAGTCACTTGGAGTCAAATCTAAGTGATGGGTCCCCAACCATCATCGTCATACAGTGTAACTATGAAGCAGTGGTTCCACTTTTTTGGCCACACTCTCCTTTTGAGAATGTGATTAAACCTGTGGAACCCAGAAAAAGGGACGGAGGATGAGTGGAGGGAATATTTTGATGGGTACTTTGAACGGTTTTGTTAAAAATGAGTTTCTAGACTCCTGAGAGTCCCCTTGGAGTGAGAAATACACACGGAGGCCCATGTTGAAGGGTAGGGACATTCCACCCTCCAGTCTCTCCACAACAGCTACAGCTTTCTCCATTTGGAATATGAACTCAAGGAGAGCAATGGGTTTTGTTTTATTCACTGCTGTGCCTAGATCAGGGCCTGGCACTCACTAAATATATATATATAAAAATAATATTTGTATCATGAATAGGATGAGTAAATGAGTGGATAATTTAATATTGGGTCATGGGTAAGATTTCAATTATCAAAAGATTTCAATTGTTTCTCTTGTTCTAGAAACAATTTTTAAAAACCAATGGCATAGACAATTCAGATGGAGATAGTAATGGGAGTATAATGGGTGGCGGCTAGGGTTTAAGATTTAGCCAAATCTCAGAATTAGAAATATGGTATCAATTCCATCTGAAAACTAGTTCTTCAGAATCTCAGAGCACAGCACGGTAAGTGCTCAGAGGGACAGATGGCACAACGGTTAGGCTCTCAAGTGGGAACCCGGGTCAAACAGCCCAGTATCACTTTGGTATGGAGTGCCTCTGCTGATGGATGAGGTTGTCAAAGTGGTCATACACTTGAGTCTTTATGAAAGAAAGAAATAATAAGAATAAAACCTGTTCTATAATGTTACTCTTTTTGTATGTATCTGTGGGTGGCCAGAGAAACAATGATTGATTACCAGTCCTAGATTCATTGACTAAAATAAAGTGCTTCGGCATCTGGTTGAAAATGAGGAATGTCAATGCAAAACAAGAAGACAGAGAATGCATATTCAATTCTATTGCAGAAACATCTTTCGACTTTGCTGAAAATGGCCCTCCCCCCCAACAAAGCTTTTCTTAGAAAACAAAGATAGGCACAGAGTTTATGTGTAAAGATTTTTTTCTTTAAAAAAAGACACATTTATCTAGCAAGAGCAATACAAAGGGGTTATATAAATTTATTGTTCATGTAACAATTGATTAGGTTAGAAAAATTCCCATTTTCAATGTTAATTCCATCTCTCATTTTGTTTTAAAAAAATCACTAAAAGGACAAAAACCCACACAAAAATACAATCTGTATCTGTTCTATATTTACAGATAACCAGTCACTATTAAGGCATAGATTGATTAAAAGCTAACATTTATTCAAATAATCAAAATATTCTGTGCATCATAACACCGACAACTCCATATACTGTACTGTCATATTCCCTTCATTGCATCGAGAGAAAGTGAGAAAAATAATTTCCAGTGTTTTTTATTTATTTTTGTCCACCCTATTTAATCTAGTTTAAGTGGGACAGTTTTCCCTTTGGCATAATATCAAAGCATTGTTCATAAAACCCACGTCAACTTAATACTGCATATTCATTCTATCTTCCTCCTGTTGCAAATACGTGGCAGAGAGCTGGGAAAAGAGCTCTGAATATTTTTTTATTTGGGAAGGTCTTATTAAAGACATAATAAAATTTGGAGCATTGAGTTGTTGAACTGGAAACAACTCTAGAATTGTTAACCTGTGCTGAATGTTTAGCGTGATGCATCGGTACAATCAAATAAGGCAGACGACCATCACGTGATTCATGAGATCATCTGTATACATATGCACAGGACGATTCCACTGTACTTGAAAAGGGAGTGATTTAATTCTACATCCTTAAGCAGATAAGGCTTAGTTTAAGTTTAGGAAGGGCAGCTCCTTAGTGCCAGTCACAACTGGTAATTTTGTGACAGGCCCATTATCTATGCCTTCAAGGCAACCAATACTATTTTTTAAAGTGAAGATTTTTCTGAGTGCAAAATGTCTCTTTAATTCTTGATCTTACCTTAATGGTAAGACTTAGCTGTGGAAAAAACGTCAGGGCAAGTATTTCTTATCCCACATTTGTACAAAGGTACCCAACTGTCGTGTATGCTTGTCTAATGTTTTCTGCTGAGAGCGCGTGACAGTGGTTTATGTCCATGCAGAGAATCTTGAATACTGTACATAAATAAGTAGTTACAGTACAGGTAATTGACAACACTTCTTATGGGAAAGTTTTCTAACAAATTAATATACTTGGAAACAATATTGCTTTGAAGAAAGAAAGGCACTTTAAGTGATTTTTTTCATGGATTAAAAATCCTTCATAAATCCACAATAAGATGCCCGAAAAGACCCAGGAAACAATGTTACCTGATTTCTTGGACTTTCACAGTATAATATTGTAACAACGGATCTAGCCACTTAAAAATAGTCTTTTTTTCTCTTCAGAACTCAGCTATCGTTATAAACTGTCACCCTGGAGACTCGAATAAGCCTTTCTCTTCTAAACAAACATAAGTCTACTTCAAGTAGACAGATACGGTTTTAGGAAAGTCCTGTGACCACATAGAGCATAGCTAGTGTGTACATGATAAAGATCGTAATCTATTTCTCCTCACAATGGCAACAGTGCTGTCTTGTCAGATGATTATTTGTCTTTTTAAATAAAGTGACAATCTAGGGCTCCAGTTATTGAATGTCGTCCATTCTCTACCATAAATCTCTAGTAAATATCAATTTCATCAATTATGTACTGTATGCTTATAATATCTAAAAATAAAAGTTTGATATAAATAAATGTCCTTTAGTGGCAATATACTAAAAACAGCCCTTTGCCTCCAGACAACCATTAAAATCATTTTAGCAATACAGGCAGCAGCTAAGTATGACGACTGCAAAGGGTTAATATTGCAAAGTCCATTTGGTCTTTCTTTGCACCTATTACCAAGAACTAGGTTCATTGCTAAGTGTTTCTAGGATGCTGACATACATGAACAGAATTGGTCCAGAACCAAGTAGACTCACTTATGTTTCCCAAAGTCACAGAATATTCTGCACAGAAACTAACATCCAGTACCATTTCAAATAAAAATTTGATGTAGTCAGAAAAATGTGACTAAATCTGATCTGTACCAACATATAAGGTGACATGAAAATGAGAGAGACAGAGAGAGAGACGGAAAGAGCAAGAATTTCCACAGGACAAGAAATTAGAACACGTAAAGTGCTGAAAGACCTCAATAATTATTTAAAGCAGTACCAGAAAATTCCACTTGATTATTTTTTTTAAAAAATCCCCAAATACCAAAATAAAACAAGCAAACAAAATAACTTCTAAGTTTTCTGGCATCCCAGATGTCAATTCATCCTTCATTTTAAGTAAAAAAATCAGTGCATGTGTTATATAGGTAAATAAAAACAGGAAATAAGCCCTATCCTCATATTGCAAATTCTGTCCAATTGTCATTTTAGAAAAGGAATCCATATTTAGTGTTCCGCATGACATCACAAGAACATCATCTCTCTTTTCTTCCTTTTTGCCATAAAGTACAGGTGTGAATAAGATGCTTTGGTCCTGATACCAGACACCCAGAGTGCTGAGGATGCTGTGCAGTGAAGGCTGTTCACAGATCTCCTGTGTTCACCTTTACAGTTAGTTGGTGGGTGTGTGCCTGGAGGACACTGCTACCAGCGGCCACTGACACTAGCAATGTCTGAGTGATACTGACGGGGTAGCCTTCCACTCGCTCCACCTTCCAGGAAAGAGGCGCGTGCATTTGGTGATTCAAAAAGCTTTCTTCGGTTTTTATTTAGTTCTAGAGGGAGAGAGAGAGAATTGTTAGGAGCTAAATAGAGAATATATATACTATAGGACTATATGTACTATAGGACATAGCTCGGAAAATGGTGACGTGGTAGGTTTTTTGGGGAACGTCAAGACTGACAGCAAAAAGAAAACATTTAGTTGACGGCCAAGACATTCCTGAAATACTAGAAAGTATGATTTTAAAGGTAGCATATTGGTAGCCTAGAGAACCAAGGACAGCAAACAGCTTTTATTGGCAATTTGTAAACTCTGGACAGCAAATAATTTTTTATTACAGTTTGTAAATTATCTGGGGGATATATCATTCTCAGAAATCTCTAACCAAATTAAACAGTTTGGTCTACCCTAAACATCATTTCAGAGGCAAAAGGAACAATCAAAGCTGGTGAAAGGCATATGAGAGGATGTATTACCAATGGCACAGAAAATTATAGCTATTGAACTCATCCATGTCAAATATAGCAATCATTAAGTTATTAAAGTCAGAAAAGACGACCCCACACCTAAACACAAGGACATTGAAGGAACATGGTGAAATACGGTTGACTCTTGAACAACATAGGGATTAGGATGCCATTCGCCTCCCTGTGCAGTCAAAACTCCATGTATAACTTTTGACTCCCCCCAAACTTAACTACTAATAGCCTACCATTGGCCGAAAGGCTTACAGATAACATCAACAGTTGATTAAACATATACATTATATACCGTATGCTTACAATAAAGCAAAAGAAAATATTAAAATCGTAAGAGCAAATATATTTACTACTCATTAAGTAGAAGTGGATCATCATAAAGGTCTTCATCTTTGTTGTCTTCATGTTGAGTAGGCGGAGGAGGAGGAGGAGGAGGAAGGGTTAGACCTGCTGTCTCAGGGGTGGCAGAGGCAGAAGAGGTAGAAGGGGAGGCAGGTACGCTTAGTGTAACTTTACAGAAGTACATTATGATGTCTTTTTCGCCTTTTCATTAAAACATTTTTTTTCTTTATCATACCAATCGTTATTCCACCATCTGCTTTAGTTTCAGTGCTCATATCATAGAAGAGTCCATGTCGTAAAAGTAGTCATAAGCAGTCACGAATAACCAGAACCCTCTGTCAGACTGTCTGATGTCAATCTGTTTTCTGGCACTGCTTCTGCTGTGTCTTCTTCCTCATCCTCTGGCAGTGGTTCATCTCCATCACTTCATCTTCTGTTTCTTCCTCTGGTGTGGTGTCTATTTGCTCTTGAATTTCTCTAAAATCCTTATCTGGAAACCCTTCACCCCCTAATTTCTTTTTTTTGCCATATCCACAATCTCTTTCATCATTTCCTTGATTGTCTTTGTCATAAATCCTGTGAAGTCATGTACAACATCTGGACATAGTTTTCTCCAGCAGGAATTTATTGTTTGGGGCTTGATGGCTTTCACAGATTTTTCTATAACAATGATGGCATCTTCACTGATGTAATCCTTCCAGACTTTCATGCTGTTCTCTTTAATAGGATTCTCTTTAACACTGTCAATCCTTTCCACAGGGTACCGTGTGTAACGATCCTTAAAGGTCCTTCTGATACCCTGACCTAGAGGCTGAATTAGAGACTTTGCATTTTGGGACAAGGACTACTTCGACACCTTTGGTGGCAAACTCATGGGGTTCTGGGTGGCCAGGGGCATCGTCCAATATCAAAAGGACTTTCAAGGACAGTCCCTAACTGGCAAGTACTTTCTGACTTCAGAAACAAATCATCGATGGAACTAATTCAAAAAAAGGTTCTTGTCATCCAGGCTTTCTTGTCCATGTAAAAGACTGGCAGCTGGTGTTTATCTTTTCCTTTCATGACTTGAGGGTGAGCAGCTTTATATATAAGGGGAGTCCTGATCATAAACCTGACTGCATTTGCACAAAACAGTAGAGTTAGCCTATCCCTTCCTCTCCTAAATCCTGGTGCTCACCTCTCTTCCTAATAAATGTCCTTTGTAGCACTGTTTTCCAGAATAGGTAATTTTGTCTGCATTAAAAACCTGTTGAGGCAGATATCCTTTCTCCTAAATGATTTTTTTAATAGCTCTGGGACCCTGTCTGCTGCCTCTTGGTTGGCAGAAGTTGCTTCTCCTGTTATCTTGACATTTTTAAGGCCAAACCTCTTTCTAAAATTATCCAACTATCCTTTGCTGGCATTAAGTTCTCCAGCTTAGATCCTTTACCTTCCTTTTGCTTTAAATTGCCATATAATGACTTCACTGTTTCTTGAATCATATTAGAGTCAATAGGTATGCCTTTCTTAAAAAAATCCTGTACTCACATAAAAGCTGAATTTTCAATATGGGAGAGAAGGGTATTTTGCAAAAAGTGTAAGGGTTTTGCTCCTGCTGGAGTAGCTGCAGCCATAACTTCATGAATTTCTTTCTTTTTTTTTTTTTTCCACAATAGTTCTTATGCTAGATTCACTTATCTTGAAATGGCAGGCAACCACAGCTGCAGACCTCAATCCATGGTACATATCAAGCAATTCAACTTTTTCTTATAATGTTATGATTTTGCTCTACTTCTTGGGAGCACTTACAACATGACTGGTGGTCCTTTGTGTGGGTCCTATGGTATTATTCAAGGCTTATGATATTGCACTAAACACAATGAAAAATGCACAAGAACAGTGAGAGATTACTTTTTATTGTGATATGAAATTTACTGGAGATGAACTGCTCACGTGGAGATGATCAGCATCACAAGGTGTTTCTAGAAGATACTCTCAACACTTGAGCTCACTGAAATAGCAACAGGAGATAGCTACAAAATTATTATAGCATAGTATTTACTACAGTTAATTTTATGCAGTTATGATTTAATACTGCATCTTGTGTTCACATTTCTCTTAACTAAGAATGGCACCATGTATGTTCTGTGTTTCTGTAAGTTTTGATAAATGTTAACATTTTACAATAGATTGGCATATTTTATGAAAGCAAATGATAAAATAGACTAGTATTTACATATATTTTATTCATTCCTGACATGCCTTACTTTTTCTTAATTTTTTTCAATAGTTCTGCACAGTTCAAATCCATGTTGTTCAAGGGTCAACTGCATTAAGCCACAGCCCCCATGGCTCTGCCAACTCATGAAGCCTATGCTTCTTAAGTCAGAAACAGTTATATAAAGAAGCATCATCAACAGGTTTCTCTGAACAAAAAATATCAACTCAGTAAAAAAACAGTAACAACTTAGAAAATTAATACTTGAAAACAACCAATATTTGAATCCAAATTTTCAGGGGAAAACTGAGATTCCCTATTTGAATTTTAAAGAAAGCAGAGTACTTAGAAAACACCTTAGTTTATTTTCTGCCAACTAAGAGTTACTAGCCTGAAAGGTAAAAAGTTAATTGAAGCAGACCATCTTGCATGTAAGGCATCCACCCCTACGTCCCCTACCCCAACCCCTTAGTGAGTCACTGATGTAACTGTTCCTGATAAACTCATACAAGTACACAGAATTGTCAGACAATGGAAATTAGGGTCTCTGGTAGCCATCAAATGAAAATATGTTCAAATTTATTCAACTTAAAATAGATTAGAGGGCTTATGTAGTTAATATGCTTAAAGTTGTCTTTTTTTTTTTTTTTTTTGAGGGGCTAGAGCAGGCAATCGAGCACCTTATATTTGCATGGTACTTGTACTTTTTCAACCACACATACACAATCTCCTTTAGAATTCTGAGGTTACAATGTAAGCTATGTCCAGCTACTGTAATGTTCAGGATGGGATCACAGACTCGGGTTGTACGGGGTCCCACCTGGGGTTAAGGACAGCCTTATGGCCAGACATGCTCCTGTCCCCAAGTTCTGGAAGATGGACCCTTAACATTTCACCCCACTGCCTTCCAAAATGTAAATGCCTTCCCTATAGGGTCAAAGCAACAATGCAGGTATCTCCTTTTTGTTCACATATAGGTCTTAGGAGAGAAGAAAAATAACAGCAATTCATTAGGGCTTATTATACGACGAGCACTTTACATTTATTTTGTCCTATTCAAGTCCTCCTTAAGGGGTAGACAGTATTACCATTCCCCATTATATAGATAAGAAAACATATTTTAAAAACAGCTGAAGTCGCTTGCCCACACAGTTATTAAGTGACAGAGCTGAAACTGCCTAACACACAGGTCAATGCCCTGCCGCTGAGCTGCAGCGATCCATTGGACAGAGAAGACCGACCAAAGCACAGGAGTACAATCCGGTAAGTTCTAGCTATGCCAGGTAACAGAGCTTTACTTCATATTTTAGCAAACCAAATTTATTTTTTAAATAAAAAACATAGCTTAGAAATTCTTAAGAAGCAAGGAAGATATCTTTACATGAAAAAGACACATGCAAGCATGCATGCAGATGGCTATTGTTTTCAAGTCCCTGCAGAAACACAGTAGCAATGACATTCCTATTAAAAATTGAACACATGTATCTTGTTAAAAAACAAACACAGCACTTCAAAATTCATAAATCAAGACAGAATTGAATATATTTAAAGGCAAACTTATAGGAATGTTAAGAATACATGAATCCCTTTAAGTATACAGCCTGGGAAAGTTTTATCACCTTCAAGCTAGGAGACTATCTCTGGCCTCCATTTTCTCATGGGAGAGTAATCAAGAGGACATTCCCAAGGAAAAGGAAAGAATGAGGCCAAACAACATTCTCCCCCAGCACACATAACTTGTATAACTGAGCACATGAAAACAATAGGGCCATGGAAGATTAAAAAAAAAATTTGTAATAAACATTGAAAACTTTATTCTGAAATGTCACATCAGCTAGAGATTTCAAAGAGTAAAATGATCACCAAGGAATTCAGTCATTCCCTACAGATGCAGTTTCTATGAGAGCGTATACATACATTTCTACATGTGATGCACAGAGATAAATCTTCCAGGGAGGTTATCTAGGAACAAGTCCTACTGAAGAGACTAGGATTTTTGTTGTTGTTGTTGTTGTTTTAAATTAAAGAGCAATCTCCTTCCTCTGATATTTTTCAGTAAGCCTAAGGAATAGTTTGGGAAAATACCAACCTTTTTCTTTGAAATTCCAACGTTCACACAATCCTGGCAGCTCTCAGGATCTTGTTGCGGATCTGAACAGAGTCACAAACTAAAAGAATAGGTCGGGAAATGTTAGATCTACCTGAGGCCATGGCGGGAAGCCTGACAACAGGATGCTAAACTTCCTTTCACTGAGTCCCTGTACATTTAACCAATCATTAAAATACTCTGACAGAAATCCGTCAATTTTCAAAATATCATGGTTTTGAAAAAAAGATCAAACTTATTCTTTGATCCATCTCTATTAGCGATAAATCTCATTGACTCCTGTAACATTAAAATAAATGTCTTTTGGCCCAAGATTAAAAACAAAAACAAAACCTCGTAGTGAAAGCACAACTCCAATTATAAGTTAAGTATCTACAAAATTTTAAAAATGAATTTTGAGCAAACTCTGTATCTAACCAAGCTGCATAACCACAAGATGAACATGAGTCAAGGCTGCCCACCTATTCTGCTATTTATCAGAAGATGGAATGTTCTAGGACTACAAACGTAAGTCTTTGTTACCAGATAAGCTGAGTTGGGAAAAGAAGCTTTTTGATGAAGGATCTCTCAATAAAAACTTATTACTTGCAGAGAAAACAATTTACCAGATTCAAACAAATGCATTCAACAAGGTAAAATTATCCTTAATCAAATACTCCGCACTGTGCAGAACAATCATAAGGCATCTTATTCAAAGTCTCTAACTCCCTTTAAAAGCAGGAGAACCCATGAACCCACTGAGAGAAGTCTACAGAAGTACTATATGACCTCAACAGAACCACACTGAAGACGATGGTTAGAAAAACATTTTTTTAAAAAAAGAGGATTCAAAACACTTTCTGATTACTACCCTACTCCCCAAAATCCAGAGTAAAGGACACTGATGTATTCCAAAGTAAGGAACTGATGAGCCATCTGCAACTTGTGAAAGTAATTAGAGATATCTGCTTGTTGCTAAAAGCTTTACAGAGTTTGGTACCAGGTTGGTACACAAAGAAAGAACTTAGTTTTCATTATACTATCACTGCCATTCCATGAATCTCTAGTGAAAGACTGAAGTTCCAGAATGTAGTACCCTTCTCTGGCATAAAAGTGCTGGCCCACAGGCATATTTCAACAGTACAAGTGTGGTGAATATGCAAGTTAATCAAATTTCAAGTAGTATATCAATTTCATTTGGAAATTAATAAAAGAATGTGAAAATATACAAAGTTAACTTGAATCTAGGAATAGCCCCGAGGCTGAGCTTTAGAGTAAGTAAATGAATGAGTTGGAAAAACTACCCTGTTGCACAAATGGTAAAAAGAAAAGAACAAGGGAGTATCCTGCTAGCAGTATATACTGTTGAAACTGTAATTTGTCTATTTGCACTAAGCCTGATGATACATCACATGAAAGAATAGATCTTAGAAGCAGAAGGTGGCCTTACACAATCATCTTTTCAATATACCTTCATGATTAATAAACCCAAACCAAAAGAGGTTTGGAAACTCACCCAAGGACTCATGATTTAGCAGAGGTAAAGCCCAGGTCTGCTATTTGAATCTAGTGTTCTTGCCACTATACGAAGATGATCTTATGAGCAAACATGAATTATGCACCTGCCCTGTGGAGCTCCATTAATGTAGCCTTTTGGACACACAGAGTGGAGGAAGACTTCTGAAACTGAGGTGTGTAGAACTCTATTGATTCATGAAAGAACCTATCAGGCTGTCACCAGGAAGCTAAATGGCTGGATTTCTACTTCTCTTTCAAAACTGCTTTAAAAAAGATAAAGATTTCTTATGGGGAGGTGGGTGGAGTATGCACCATACTGCTAAAATAAAATGGAAAACAACTGAGGTTTTTGCTTTTTTCTGCTGATATGATTAGTGGCTGCTGTCTGGAATGGACTTTCACCAGTTGGATGCAACTGCTGGCCTCACTGAGGCATAGCCTGCAAGTTCAGCGTTCTGAAAAAGCAAGATCACTTTCTCGAAGCACATGATGCTTGGCTTCTGCCCTTGGTGTCTGTCTTTTTGAGAGATTGGCACACATATAAATTTGACATTCAAGAACTTTATTGTAAAATCTTCAAAAATGAATCCCATTCCCCCTCAAATTTCTTCCACAAGTTCTCTAAACACTTGTTTTGAAGTGCATTGCTATGTATTCGCCAACTCCTGACTCATCATCTGGCTCAATTCCTTTCAAATGAATGGCACCCAATAAATATGTATAGAGCATTTTCTAAAACAGAGAATATGCAATAGATGCACAAAGAAAGCAGTCTAAGGAGGAAGACAACATTATTTTCCTTGATTCTGTGACCACCTTCAGGATACTATTAATATAGCCTTCTGTGACACACACATTTTATTAAAATGTTGAAAAAAATTAAAAAGAATTAAGATAAGTAATACTGCCAGGTTCCAAGCAATACCAATGAGAATTCTTTTTTCCTCAGTGCAATAATCTCTGTTGGTGTGCAAGGACACACACACTTGAAACATGACTTCCAATCAAGATTTATTATTCACTGACTTGATGATTATTGCTTAACACATCGGCAAAGAAGAGAATGAAAGAGAATTAAACTGACCCCCCCATGTTCTGCATAGGGCAATTTTGGTTAGATCCTTCTGAAGGAATCTATATGTATTTTCAGGAACAACACTGTCAAGGCAGGTTTTCAGGCAATGCCTTGATGAAGGAGTAGAATATTCTCAGCATGTGTTACACTGTTGGCAGGAAAATCCTCTGAAACCACAACCACCAAGGTGTCAAGGTAGTAAGCCAGCAGCTGATGCGGAGAACCAGTCTTGCTGGCTGAGACCACTGGCAGAAGTTACTCAGATTTTAAAACATGAGTTGAATATTCATATTCACCTGAGATTGCAAGCAGCATTTTCCTCCTCGCACCAAAAGTAGTAATTCCCAGCTCCTTCAGATCCTGATCAGTGAGAGTAAGGAATGTCTGAAGATCGATCTGTGGGTGAAAAAAAAATCTATAACCAATATATTAAATACTCATTTTCTTCCTCATCACAGGATCAACTTGTTATTCCACCTATTTTATTTATTAATTATGCACTACCTACTTCCAAAAAAGAATGGTGGTGGCACAAACCTAATGGACAAGAATTGAGAAATAAAGGTAGTAAAACAGAAAGGATGATTCCAACAAAGCCTTAGCTCTGAGCATCCTGGCAGCTATGGCAAAAAGGGAAACAGAAAGATTGTACCATTTTGTGAACTAATAAAAGGAAGAATACATATCTGTCCAGGAAAGAGAAAAATATTTCTTAGGTTTGGATTCTGAATTGGTTAAGTGTATCTTTATCTTTATAAGAACAAACTAGATATTAATAATATAACAGATAGTATCTTCCTTTGTGTTCTGCATAAGAGTGACAGAAGAATTCCCAGACTCCATCAGATCTATGGTTCACTTGGCTAAACCCAGCAGACTATCTCTGAAGGAGGCACAAAAGAAGCATTTGTAGAACGGTAAAATTATACTCTCTGGCATCAGCAACGAAGCGTAAAGGGAAACTGTCTAATGATTTCACTCTTTTTTTAAGATGGTGTGGAGGAATAGAAAGGCAAAAGACTCTGAAGCCAAAGAGATTTGAGCTCAGATCTTAACTCTGCCATTATTAGCTGTGGGCACTGAGGGTTGACAGTACTATACCTTGCAGGGGTCTGTTGTGAGCGTTCGACATGACTGTAGAAGCAAAGCAATGGGCTCACCAAAGCGGTGAAATAATTGGCAGTTATGGTTAGTAATAATGCATATTGATATATCATCTGTGAAGGATGCTAAACCAATCTGCAACACGCTTACAATAAAATCTCATGAAGTCACTTAGTGGGGGAGTCTTGTTAAATCATAGCTGAATATTAGAAAATACCCTACATGAAGAAAGCAGATTACCACATTTCAACACAGCATAAAACAGTAAAATATACTTTTCATTAAATGATATCGAACAATGTTCTGTTTTGATTGAAGGTATATCCAGATCTTACAAAACTTTAATTTAAGGTCATCATTTATCACAGTTCTAAAGACAGTTTTTAGAAATTCTACTTAACAGAAACGCTCTAGTTCAAGTATCCCCAAACTTTCTCTTAAAGGGTCAGACAGTAAATATTTTGGGTCTCTTGGGCCATATTGTCACTGTTACAACTACTCAATTCTGCTGCTGTGGCTCAAAAGCAGCCATAGACAGTATGTGAACAAATTAGTGTAGCTGTGTTCCAATAAAACTTTATTTACAAAATCAGGCAGAGGGCCTGCAGATCACAGTTTGCTGACCTCTGCCACTAGTTAATAAAATATTAGATAAAGCCACTCTGGCTTTATACTTTCATGTTTTCTTCCTTCTTGGAGTAATTGGTTAAGAAGTACCTATAAGAAGTTTATTTCTATGCTTCTTCAAATAGGAAATAAACAAAGATGAAAGCAAACCCAGAATATCACTGAGTAACATTTAGTCTCTAAGATCTTCTGTGTCTGGACAAGTTAAAATACTTATACCTTTTAGCTTCCCAATTAGCTATCCTCATCCAACTAACAACAAAATATAGATACAATTCTTTAATGCACTGATTATGAAAGGGTTATTCAACTTAGGAAATCCTTGATTAAATGAACACTTAGATTTAGGGGAAATAGAACAAAATCAATACCCTAAAATCTAACACACATGGCGATCTCTTTTTCAGTGTAAAACACAAAAATGTTCAACAACTAAACTTAATTATTTATTGAGCCATGGCTGATACATTGAATTTATGATAAAAAGTGCCTAATAAAAACCTTAGATTTCTTATTGACTGATATATTCCTAGGAATTACTGACTAAATCAGATGCTCTCTAACACTGCAGTCTCCAACCTCTGGACCATGGACTGCTACCGGTCCACAGCCTATTAGGAACTGGGCCACACAGCAGGAAATGAGCAGCGGGCAAGCTAGAGGAGCTTCATCTGTATTTGCAACAACTCTCCATTAATCGCATCACCACCTGAGCTCCACCTCCTGTCAGATCAGTGGTGGCATTAGATTCTCACAGAAGTGTAGACCCTACTGTAAACTGTGTATGCGAGGGATCTAGGTTGTGTGTTCCTTTTGAGAATCTAATGCCTGATGATCTGAGGTGGAGCTGAGGCAGTGATGCTAGTGCTAGGAAGCAGCTGCAAATTTAATGAAAGTAATGTGCTTGAATCATCTCAAAACCATCCCCCCTCCTGCCCCAGGCCATGGAAAAAAGTGTCTTCTATGAAACTGGTCCCTGGTGCCAAATAGGTTGGGGACCACTGCTCTAACATGAAATTAAGCCAACTAGCAAACTTGGACCATGTCTTGATTTGAAAAAGAGATAAATGTATAGAGTGATTTTAATTTTCTGTTGCATTGGGTTAGCTGTACCCTGGTAACATGACAGCATTATCAGAAAGAGTCATGCTTAGGGGCTCTTTTCTTTATGCCAGTGCATAGTAGCCTATGGCTAATCAGTTTGACCAAAATCCATGGTAGTGATGGTTCAGAAGACATCTTAGTTCTGTCTCAGTTCGGGTAAAACCCAAGCAGTAAGCTGATGAATAAATTAACATGTTAAAAAACATATCCTGTAATAAATTACAGATTTTAGTAATACGACTAGGATTGGGTCAAAAACAGCCACAGATACTTATTTAGGATGCTGTCATTTACTTTTAAGTGCCACAAATAAAGATAATAGATTAAAAAATGAAATCATGTTAAAAACAGACTTGTTGATGACCTCAGGGGAGCTGTGAATCAATACACCAATTGAGTCTTTTAGCTAAAACTGTTGAAGGATGGCTATAGGGTATTTTTGCAAGCACCATTTTCTCTATTTCTGCTATCCTGTGTTTTCTAGCTGCACTAAATAAATAAGAAATGAGATGACATTTTTCACAGCAGCAAGAACAAGCTATGAGACTTGAATAAATGCTCAGTGAAAGCACAGTCATAGGTCAATGAGTGATTTCATGCTAGAAGTCATCATACACACAACCAAAACAAAGAAACCCAGGAAAATAAATAAAGACTGACCTCTTGTTGCTGGAAGACATCTGTGTATTTGCCCAGGCCCAGTTTGCTGAAGAGCTCAGGGAGGTCAGAGCCTTTGAAAGAGCTGTTTAGGTTACAGCCATTGCTTCCTGTCAGTGAAGAAATGCAGTCCATGTAATTGCTACTGCTGAGATAGTGTTCCACTGAAAGGCAAAGGAGAGACAGGCTTGAAGTGTAAATGCCCAGAGACAGCACGGTTAAATTCAAAGTTTTAATCACCCAAATATTTCGTATTTCATTGTTCAGCTGAATAGAGCAGTAGCTGCAGAAAGATAGCAATCCTTTACTGAAATATTGGCTTTTCATTAAAGAAATGCTGATTATTGCTTTCAGGGAGCTCTTGCAATTTAAAAGGTTACACATGGGAGGCAGAGATTCAGCAACAGTGCCTCTGTAGTTAATAATCATTCATCATATTCTCCCTGACCATTCAGAAGCATTTGCTGTTTATAACTGATTGGATGTGAATTAAATGAGGAAAAGAAAGAAGGATCTCTGGGACAAAATTATTACAAGTGCAGGCTCCTTTTGGATGGCAGGATGGCTCTCTGTATCCACACTGGTATTTTCTGGAGGTCAAAGGAATTATGCGATACTGCAACATACAAATCTTGTTACCTAGGAGAACATAATCGGGCAGCAAATTTACAAAATAAAACCTTCTGCTGCGTGATTATTGAGTTAAGGAGGAAATTAAGATAAAAATCAAAAGATTCTTTGAACTAAATGATAAAGGAGAAACAAGTTATCAAAATCTGTGGGACACAGCTAAAGCAGTCCTGAGAGGAAAATTTATATCCATAAATGTCTACATCCAAAGGACAGAAAGATCACAAATCAACATCTAATTAATTATCTAACAGAACTAGAAAAGGATGAGAAAAATAACCCCAAACCCAGCAGAAGAAAATAACCAAGATCAGAGCAGAGCTAAATGAAATCGATGATAAAAAAAAAACTATACAGAAGATTAATAAAACAATAAGTTGGTTCTTTGAAAAAATAAAATTGACGTGCTTCTTGCTAGATTAATGAGAAGCAGAAAAGACTTTAATAAGCTCAATTAGAAATGAAAAATGAGAAATTACAACTGAAAACATGGAAATACAAAATATCATTTGTGAATACTACAAAAACCTCTATGCACTTGAAAACATGGAGGAAATGGACAAATTCTCAGAAACACACAGCCTCCATAGGCTCAATCAGGAAGAAACAGAACTCCTGAACAGACCAATATCAAGTACCAAAATTGAAGCAGCAATAAAAAAAAACCTTCCTAAAAAGAAAAGTCCCGGACCAGATGGTTTCACATCCAAATTTCACCAGACCTACAAAGAAGAACTAGTGCCTATCCTGCAGAAATTATTCTAAGACATCGAGAAGGAAGGAATTCTCCCCAACACATTTTAAAGCCAACATCATCACCCTGATGCCAAAACCAGGAAAGGACATGACAAAAGAAGAAAACTACAGACCAATATCCCTGGTGAATATAGATGCAAAAATTCTTAACAAAATCCTAGCAAACCGAATTCAGGTGCTTATCAAAAAAATAATCTGTCCTGTGGATGAAGCCAAGTGGGCTTCATCCCAGAGATGCAGGAATGGTTCGACATATGCAAATCTATAAATGTGATTCATCACATAAATAGAAGCAAAAACAAAGACCATATGATCCTCTAAATAGACGCAGAAAAACCATTCAACAAAATTCAGCACCCTTTTATGATAAGAACGCTTAAAAAAATAGGCATAGACAGGACTTACCCAAGAGTGATAAAAGCCATATATGACAAACCCACAGCCAACATCATACTGAATGGGGAAAAACTGAAAGCATTCCTGCTTAGAACTGGAACCAGACAAGGTTGCCCTCAATCACCACTTCTATTCAACATAGTGCTGGAAGTCCTAGCCAGAGCAATCAGACAAGAGAAGGAAATCAAGGGCATCCAAATGGGGGCAGAAGAGGTCAAAGTAACGCTCTTTGCTGATGATATGATCTTATATCTAGAAAATGCCAAAGATTCTGCCATGAGACTACTGGAATTGATAAACAAATTCAGCAAAGTCTCAGGTTATAAAACCAATAGCATTCCTATAGGCCAACAATAGTCAAACTGAGAACCGAATCAAAAACTCAACACCCTTCACAATAGCATCAAAGAAAATAAAAGACCTAGGAATATATTTAACTAAGGAAGTAAAAGACCTCTCTACAGGGAGAACTACAAAACAAAACACTGAGGAAGGAAACAGAAGAGGATGTAAACAGGTGGAAAACCATATCATGCTCTTGGGTCAGCAGAATCAACATTGTTAAAATGTCTATACTACCCAAAGCCATCTATAGATTCAATGCAATCCCTATTAAAATACCAACATCATTTTTCACAGATCTAGAAAAAATAATCTATGCTTTGTATGGAACCAGAAAAGACCCTGTATAGCAAAAGCAAAAAGAACAAATAGGGAGGCATCAATTTACCAGACTTCAAACTATACTACAAGGCTATAGTAACTAAATCAGCATGGTATTGCTGTAAGAGACACAGACAAATGGAATAGAAAACTGAGAACCCAAATATAAAACCATCCTCATATAGCCATCTAAACTTTGACAAAGGAGACAAAAACATACACTGGGGAAAAGAATCCTTATTCAATAAACGGTGCTGGGAAAATTGTATAGACACACGTAGAAGACTGAAACAGGATCCGCATCTTTCACCTCTCACAAAAATCAACTCATGGTAGATAACAGACTTAAACTTAAGGCATAAAACTATAAGAATTCTAGAAGAAAATGTTGGAAAAACTCTTACAGACATTGGCCTAGGCAAAGAATTTATGAAGAAGACCCTAAAAGGCAATCATAGCAACAATAAAAATAAATAAATGGGACCTGATCAAATTAAAAAGCTTCTGCACAGCCAAGGAAACTATCATGAGAGCAAACAGACAACCTACGGAATGGAAGAAAATATTCGCATGTCACACATCCAATAAACAGCTGATAACTAGAATCTATGTAGAACTCAGGAAAATCAGCAAGAAAAAAATCAAAGAACCCCATTAAAAAGTGGGCAAAGGACATGAACGGGAACTTTTCAAAAGGAGACAGATGGCCAACAAATATATGAAAAAATGCTCAACATCTCTAATCATCAGGGAAATGCAAATCAAAACCACGATGAGATATCACTTAACTCCAGTGAGAATGACTTTTATCAAAAAGTCCCAACACAGTAAATGTTGGCATGGACACAGAGAGATAGGAACACTTATACATTGCCTGTGGGACTGCAAACTAGTACAACCTCTGTGGAAAGTAATATGGAGATACCTCAAAGAGCTACAAGTAGATCTACCATTTGATCCAGCAATCCCATTACTGGGCATCTACCCAAAGGAAAAAAAAAAGACATTCTATAAAAAAGACATGTGCACTCAAACGTTTATAGCAACACAATTCACAATTGCAAAGATGTGGAAACAAGCCAAGTGCCAATCAATACACGAGTGGACTAACAAATGTGGTACATGTATACCAGGGACTTTTACTCAGCCACAAAAAACAATGGTGATCTAGCACCTCTTGTTTTATCCTGGATAGAGCTGGAGCCCATTCTACTAAGTAAAGTATCACAAGAATAGAAAAAGAAGCACCACATGTACTCATCATCAAATTGGTATTAACTGATCAACACTTATGTGCACATATAGTGGTAACATTCACTGGGTGTTGGGCAGGTGGGAGTGGTAAGGAGGGGATGGGTATATTCATACCCAATGGGTACAGTGTGCACCATCTGGGGGATGGACAGGCTTGAAGCTCTGACTCGGGTGGGGCAAAGGCAATATACGTAACCTAAACATTTGTCATTTGTTCCCTCATAATGGGAAGGGAAGGAAAGGGAAGGGAAGAAGAGGGGAGGGGAAGGGAGGGGAGGGGAGGGAAGCGAAGGGAAGGGAAGGGAAGGGAAGGGAAAGAAAAAAAAACAATAGACTGGAGTGGAAAGAGTTGCTTGGACTTGGCAACAGGAGCTCGCTCAGGAATGAGCTGAAATAAAGACTAATTGAGTTCTCTTAAAAAAAAAAAAAAAAACGACTAAATAAGAATTGCTAAGAATGGTTCTGGAGTTCCTGGAATTAATTTAAGGCAAATTAATTTGTTTCTTGGAAAAAATTCTGAGACAGCCATACAGAGCTTTTCCTTGGCTCTATCAGTGATTTGGTAGACAAAGTTTTCAACACGCTACCTGTGGTTCTAAGACCCTACAGACTATTGAACCATGCCAAGTACTTCACCAAATACACACACACACACACACGCACACACACACATACACAAACACACACATGCACACTGCTTGGAGCTGTTAGCAGAGCTATGCTACCATTCTACCTCCCCAATCAACAATTGGCTCTTGCCTGTGTGGGAAATCTGTCCTTTACACCAAGGATGTGGCATTAACAGGGATTCCCAGAAAGGTGGCAGAGGAGGAGGACAGTCGCCTAAGCCAATCAGATCCATCTAATCTACTCTGAGGATCCACACATCTCTCAAATATAAGAATCTTGTTCTGTACTGTTTTTGGTGCCATTAATCACTTTCTCCAGTTGTTTTCATCTCCCAACTGGGATGTCCTTTATGTATCTCAAGTGGAAGGAATTTCCTGATAAGGTTTCTTTTTCTCTTAAAAACAGCTGTTGTATCTCTTGTTGGGAGAATGTATAGAGAAAAGGACCCAGGACCAAAGCCTGAGATACTGAGCCCTGGGACACTTCATCATTTAAAGGTGAAGTAGAGGCCCCAAAATCATCAGAAAAGATTGGGGAGGCATGACTAGTGAGATTCTGGGTCAAAGGAGACAAAAAGCAGATCACGATAAGTGCAGCAGAGTGACTGCTGGACTTGACAACATGGAAGTCACTGGCAGGCTGACCATATAATGTATTGTCCAAATGATATGTTTCCTTTTTTTGAGAGTAAAAGGGGAGTTTTTGAGAATTACATTGGAGTAATGGGTATAAACAGAGATAGCCAGTGAAAACTGAAATATTCATGACCTTGAGAAGGGTATTACGAGAAATTATCTAACTGTGCTATTTAAATACAGTAGCCATTGTCCACACGTGGCTATTAACAGCTGAAATGAGGCCAGTGGGAATCAAAATGTTCTATCAGTGTAAAATATATTGCGGATTTTAAAGACTTTGTACAAAATAAGAATGTAAAATATCTCAAATAATTTTTATATTGATCATATATTTAAAAGAAACATTTTACATATGTTGGGTTAAATAAAATATATTAGTAAAATTTTGAAAAAGTGTTTGAAAGTATTGAAAGTAAAATATTCTTAGTGACAAAAGTTCATAATGGTTTATTTTTGTGTTAACTACTTTTGTGTTAACTACTTATAGTTTCTATATCCTGTTTTAAACTCCCTACACTCTTGAATCATCTGAAAAAAGCCCAATGACTGTGCTACGTTAATCATTTCTGTTTATTAATGAATCTTCCATCTTAATGCTAAACTTCAATTCAGCTAAGTAGTATAGTCAATTTTAATTATGCAACATTAAATGAAGGGAAAGGAAATAAAGATAGAAAAAGAGAGGCACAAAACAAATTTATCTTGGGCTATACACTGGACATCATTCACACCCTTGTACCTGGCACCAGCTGCCTCTCAGCTCCATCATACTGTCAGTGGTGGAGGACTCAGCCAGTAACCTGTGGACATCTCCAGGCCTCTACTGACAGTGTGCCTGGGAATGAAAGAGTTGACTGTGCTTTCTTATTTAGACTCGGCCAACACTATGATTGCTCTTTTCAAATCTGAGACTCCTGACTACACGGCCAACTTGATTGACCGTAACAAATGGCTGTTAGTGAGTGTCTCTATGCTTATCTAGATTGTCTTTCTTCAAGCACTCTTCAAATACTCCAAGCCACATGTTTCAGGATTCCAAATTTGTCAAAAACCAGGAAAGAAGGCATTAGGGGCATATCTTGTGATGACTATGTCAATTCTTGTCTGTTTACCTATTTGTACAGCCTAGAAGTGTGACTGCTGTTATAGACAAGACTCTGGACTCACGCTGAGTCTCTGCCACATTTGCTCAAAGCCAGAAGTCTTATGCTGTAAATTAAACTTGTTTTCTGTTCATGCTAATTCAGCTCTATCTTATCAACTTGAAAAATCAAATCCTGCTCTTCACCTTTAGTATCTACCCACTGAACAGTGTTTTTGCAATGGTGCAAGATGCTAATTTGATCACACTTTTCTCAACTGCTTTCTTATGTCCTTGTCTTTTCCTTGCCACCTAGATGTTTGTGCTTGTATTGCTCATTCACACACTCACTACACAAACATTTACTGAGTACCTACCTACTAGGTATCGGACACTCCATTAGACATTAGGGAAGAAACAACAAATAAGGTGCAATGTAACAGAATGCCTGGCACATGGCACTTCAGAAATGTTTGCTGAATGAACAAAAATGGCCTCTGGCTCTTGGAGCTCAGATTCCACAGGGAGAGACAGATATGCAGATAAATAATTACCCTTCAGTATGGCAAGTGCTAGAGTGAAAGCACGCATGAAATGCAGTGAGAGGAGAGAACTAAGTGGCCTGCTTCACTGGAAGAAATAGGGAAGGTCACAAGTGAATTGCACCGAGCACTTGAAGTCGCAGAGGCACTGGAGTGATATGTCAACATCACGACAAATCAACCAAACACATTCTAAACTGAGTATACCTCAAAGTATGAATAAAAGAGAAAACTCACTTGATTTGTTTTGCTTACGCTTGGGGCTGCCAATAGAAGCTGCAAATTCACTATGACTTGCAGGTCCTATTCCATTTCGGTCTCTCCAGTTATCAGATTCGCTTCCACTTCCCAAGTGCTCACGACTGTTGGACCGTGACAGGGACATTGATGAGCCCTGCAAACAGTCAAAGCCAGATAAAGAAATGTTTAATAAGGTGGGCTTCTCAGGGTGGGGGGAGAAAAGAATTCACATTACACCACTACCATTTACAAACCACTGAAGTTACCCATGAATGCTGACTGCGGTACTTGTCTATAGACTTCATCTTCCAGTGCCAAGGATGCTTGTTAATATACATGACAAAGTATTTTTCCTGATCATGAGGGAGAGTTCTGAGATTCCTTATACTCAGTATAAGGAATCCCTCCTATAAAATTTGGAAGAGTAGATGCTAAAGTTCCTCCCGATCTGGGGGACCACAAAGCAAATCTTCAATCTGCGGTAACACAGATTCTCTGCCTCGTATCACACAAGAATGAATGGGGATGAGCTATAGCCAAGCTAGAGCCAACACTTTCAGAAGAATTCTATTAGCTCCTAGGCTAATAGAGCCTGAGGCTGGAGAGAGATTTGGCATTTCCCCCGAGTTACACTTCCCCTAACAACTATACAATCTCTCCAACAACTTAGATACCTGGAATAATTTACCTTTTTAAATTCTCCAAAATAAAAATAATTTAAAACATCTCAAAGTATGCACCTAACTTGCATTTATTCATTCCTTTATTCTTTTATTTAAGCACCATATTACAGATACCCTACTTTGTGCTGCCTAGAGTATTAAAGTCAAGAATCTCTGATTTGCAAAGTTTTAGGTTCATTGGGTAACTCCAAGAGAATGCTTTACTGTTCACATTGACAAAATCACTCAATTTCATCTTGCGACAGCATAAGCACAGTTGGCCATGCCCTCCTTTAAACACTTCCTTCTTTAGGGCACCCTAGTCCCCAGGTTCTCTGACAACCTTACTGTATGTTTTATAGGATATTCCTTCTATTAAATATTTTCCATTCTAAATGTCAGATTACCCTGGGGCTCTGTCCTAGGACTCCTTCTCTTCTCTCTGTTCGCTTCGTTGTTAGGTAATCTCAACCTCTTTCAAAGTCTAATGACAGCAGTGCCCTATCTCTAGATTTGACTTCTCTGTTGAAATTTAAATCATAAAGGTGCCAACTGACACCTCCATTTTACTGTCCGATAGGCATCTTAAACTTAGCATGCTTGAAGTTGAGTTGTTGATGACCTGTCTCCCCCAGCTACCCTCGAACCTACTCCTCTCTCTCTGAGTGCCTGTATCCCAGCAAGTGACTCCACTGCTCACCCAGCTGCTCCAGCCAAAAGTCTAAGGCTTATCCTTGATCCCTCCTTCCCACAACACATCCAATGCATCAGCAAGTTCTATCAGTGGCATCTTGAAACATACTCCAAATCTGCACACTTCTCTCCATCTCCACAACTGTTGCCAACTGCCTCCTTAATAGCCATCTCGATTCTACTCTTGCCACCCTTCCCCCTAAAATCCATTTTCCATAAACTAACAAGATTGATTTTTTAAAATGCAAATTAGAACAAATCTTGCCTCTGTGTAAAGTCTTGTAATGAGCTTCCATTGTACCTTACCACGGGCTCATGTGTTCTAAAACTGAGCCTCTGCCTCTCTCCAATCTCATCACCAGTGTGCACCCACCCTATCCTCCTCTTGCTCCCCGAACTCACCAGCTACCTCTGCCTTTAGGATGATCATGCTAGCTGTTTCCCTGGCCTAAGACTCTTTCCCTAGATCTTCACAAGGTTGGCCTTTTCTTGTCATGTAGGTTTTAGCTTGGATGTCATCTGCTCATAAGGCCTGCTTCAGCTACCCAATCTAAAGCAGCCTTGGTTTCACATTTATTAGGGGCTTTTATCACCTAATGCCTTCTTGTTTACTTGTGTTGTGTTCCTCTCTACCCACCAGAAAGAAAGCTCTATCCACAAAACCAAGAACCTCATATTCACTAGCGCATAGAATTGTGCCTGGAACACATAAGGTGCTTAATATTTGTGGAATTACTGAATAAATCTCAAGGATTCTCTTCCCTCCATCTATGGAATGCCTTTGCTGAATTTTGGGACTGGATATAAGGAAATGAAGGCTCCTGATACCAAAAAATGACTTTTCCAATGAAAACATCTTTAATATTTATATCTTTAATAAAATATCTTTAATATTGTCACTCTTAGATTTGTAAGATTTAAAATAATCAGATAACCTCATTACTCTCAGTGCTGGGGAAGTTCAAAACCATCTTTGATTTTCAATGCAGGTTTTTATTTGCTCTGGAGAATATGTGATCATTACTTATGCTTTTAAGAGATGGACGGCAAAAAGAAAAGGAAAATCCCAAACCTCTTTGTAGCTTTGTTGAGGTGACAGAGATACTGCAGGTCAAAGCAGCTTTTTGTTTGACTTTTGGTGTCCCTATATAATATCAAGGAAACAGGGTCACATTTTTGAGTCTTGGAGAAAACAGAAAAGCCTGAAAGTGCCTGCTTCTTATTTAAAGGAGCTCTTTGAAATGAGTTAATTTCTCAAAGCTACCCTAAAACTGGAAAAAAAACCCAGCTCAAGTCTAGCTTTTCAATGACACTGAACATAGAGTTTGAGGTACCAAGTTCTTGCCTCAAGCAAACTTGCTAAAGCAGGAAACCCTCGGTCCCTGGCACACCAAGCACGCAGCTCTCACCTGTCAGGATCTACTGGCAGAACATGCTGTTTCTTGTAAGATCAGCATTCTCCTTGCTCATTTTGTTTTATTTTTCTTTGGAAAAAGAGTAAGGAAAAGTAGAGTGTGTCTAGGCCTTCTTCAAATTAAAAATATTAGTGCTATAAGCATAGATGTGGTTCTTTTAATAAATTCGTTCTTTCCACTTTTCCCCAGGTGCTTCCCCATATCCTAATCCATACGAGTGCCCCTTACTGACTGTTTTTAATCTTTCGGAGCCATGGAAGAAGATAAGGAAAGGTGTGCACATGCAGGTAGTAACTGCTGCAGAAAATCAGAAAATGAATGCTACGTGAGGGGCCCTTTCCCTTGGAAAAGTTCAAGTCCTACATACCAGGGAGAATCTATTACAGAACATCAATCCTAAAGAAAGCTTGATTATCTGTCTCCATCAGTAGCATTTAAAGGGGCAGTGAAGAAAAGATTACAAGTGAATGCCCATGTTCCAATCCAGCTGGTTCCACTCGCCCTCCCTCCCCATCTTTCAATGTCAATGGGCAGCTAGACACCAGCCAGGATGGTGGAGCAGGCTACCCACCATATTCAAAGCAAGGCAAGCCACAGGGAGGGGTTTCAGCCACTGAATCAGGGACCCTGCACATTTCTGCCCACAGAAAGTGGTCAATCCATCCTTGCAAAGTGCTAGAGCAGAAGAGCCTTTCAGGTTCCTATGACCGTTTCTGCCATCATGCCCCTTAGTGTGATGTCCCTTTATAGCACGGTTTCATGAGAGATGCCTACATCAGAACCATGCTCGGTTCTTGCTGAAAACGCAGATACCTGACATTTCTTACCTGCCAAATGAGACCTTGGAGGCAGAATCTGCATTTGTATCAAGTTCTCCGAGTGACTCTTATACCCATGAAAGAAGGGGCAACATGGTTGTAGGTCAGCTACATATCACCGTTTGCTATGGACCCTCTTGGGTTAAATCATTAAGAAGAGCAGTATGAGGATATTTTTGTAAAATTAATTCAAGTCCTCTCTCTGACACTTACTGACCATAACCTTGAGTAAGACACACAACCATTCTAGAGCCCTCTTTCTTCACTGGGAGTTTATGGGAATAGAATAAACTTTTGGATGAAAATCCACCTTATAAACCACAAAGAACTAAATGAATGTGATTTAAGATAAATATTACTAATTCATTATGCATTCATATACTACCCTAAGGTATCTTTGGATACAAAAAGCATAAATAGCTTGAATGTGCAGCAATACCACTAACTCGCCTTGGTATACATAATCTCATCTTTCAGCAGGCCCTGGTTTTCTTCAGGGCAAAGTTCTCCAGTGGAAATAATAACAGCAGCTCAATAAGTAATTGCTAAGAATTTACCATGCACTATGCTAAGCACTGGATGCTCTCCCCGATGCCCTCCTGAATACAGTCCAAAGGCAAAAACAGGCTCAGAAGAGTGAAGTCACTCAGCAAAGCCACACGTCTGGTCAGTGGTGGTCAGCAGACCCCACAGCCCCTGCACTTCAGCAATACATTACTGAAAGAATCATTTTCAACTTGTCAAACTGTTGGTCTTGGAGAGCAGAACTCAATGAGCATTGCAAAAGTTAAATATTTCATCTCTGAAACTACAGAACACAATCAACAACCTAACACTTCACTCTGCCAAATGCAGGGGTGAGTGAGAGGGACAACCACAGGGTGTATCAGTTGAAAGTCTAAAAATTAGCACAGCAGTTTTATGGTCTCTGCTAACAAAAGGAGATGTTTATTTTCTCTCAGCGCTGTAATGGCAGGAAGAGGAGTATACCTCCTAGAGCCTCAGCATTTTTCATAATGGTCCCTGCATGCTCGCTGCTGAAGGTAATTTCAATCTTTAAATATAGCCTGCCAGGTTGCCACTATAACTCTAACAATGAAACTCATAGGAGACTGTTCTTTTTAGTATTTCAATAGTACTTGCTTTTTCACTTACTCCAAGAGACAAAGAAAAAAACAGCATGTTTGCTTTTGCCTTTCATCAACAGCCTAATTTATTACAAAGAAAATGGGTGGAGAAAAGAAGGTCAATCGACAAATGCTAGTTATTAGACTAACAATTGTGAAACCCTTAACCGGTATTTGTTTTTCAGCCTACGGTGCTCTGGTTGAACACTGTGATTCTTGGATTCATCGTCTGCATCCGCTCCGGGTCCGCAGTGTCCCCGCGTTGCGTGTGTGTGCGCACGCGCCCTCTAGCCCCACCCCCACTCCCAAAGGCTTACAGCCAAAATCCGATACTCTCCAATGGAAAAGTCCTGCTTGGTGAGTCACGTGGAGCCTGGCTGAGGAGTTTGGAACTCTGGATCCGTCCTCCAAATGGTAAGAATGCCAGCTTCCCACTCTCACCCTGAGCAGCACAGCCAACATCTGGGAAACATAAAAATTCTGGAGCTCTTGTTTGAGATACTTCCTGCTGTGTTCTTGGCACGTCTGAACACACTGAATTTTTAACTCATATCTGAAAACCTGTTTTTGTTGAATATTTGCCTTTTCCCCCTATGGTGGCTTTGCTAGTGATACCCCTGGATAAAAGAACTCTTTATCCGTTTTTCTGAACTATTACCTTGCCTTTCTCTTAATCTCATTCCTACTCTATCATTTATGACACAACCCAGCCCCAACGAAAACACACATCCAAATTTACATCTCAACAACTTTGAGAGAAGATACATAAAAGACCATAATATATATGATTGCACTCATTTTATAAAAATATGTTTACAGGACTAGAAATAATAAATGACCACTAATCACTTTCCCTTGAGTACATAAAAAATGGGGGGGGGATGATTGTTTGCTTTTGCTGAGAGAACAGAAAGGAAGAATGGGTTGGGCGTGACTCAACAAACCTCATAAGTGGTTGTCATTGTGGGTTTATAGGACACATGATTGGCCCTTCTCAGCTCCTTGATAGTTTCAGCTGGCATGGATTTAGAAAACCCCAGGCCACTCCAGGTATTTGTGGGCGTTCTGACCTCCGTCACCACTGGTTTCTTTAACATAGCTTTGGAAAACAGAATATATTAATAAAACAAATGCCTGATATATTTAACATATTGCTTAAATAAAATACCAATGATAGGCATTGCTTCTTTGATATGTGAAGAAATTATCACTGAATATTATTTCTCAACACAAAATGCCTAAAATGTCTTAATAAAACATTTTAACTAAAGTAACAGTAAATGAAAAAATGCTACATGATTTCTTAATTGATCTAATGCTAACTTATTCAACAAAATATGTCTAATCTCAACAGAATTTGTGCAACCTGAACCCAAACATTTTGGGTTTTTTTTTTAATGAGTGTCCAATTTCTCAATTCACCATGAATAGTCAAAAAACTATTTATGAGTGTATTAAAAAGCAATCAAAGTATAAATCATTAGTATATCATATACCTTTGGTTGCTAATAGCTTCTTTTGTTCATAGTCAAATGCCTGAAAATGAAACAGAGAGAAAATATCTTTATCGTCAGTCTTTCCAAATGTCATGCCAATACTCCACAGTTAGAGACAGACACAGGTTTTGACTGTATCCCCTCATCTGCCTGAGACACATGCTAAGCTTTGCACCATAATGTGACAGAAATTCGATTCTGACAGAAATCCGATTTATCAGTAAGTCTGATAAATTTAAACATGTTTTCAAAACTAATATATTAGAATGAATTACTACTTCTGATTTTAAATCATGGCAGTGACAAGAGAGTTTTTCCTTCAAAAAGAAAAAAAAAATTCTTATCTACCATAAATATCTAGCACATCAGGGCCAATATCTGCTAAAGTATAGTAAATAACTCCGTAACAGTTATGCTAACTTTCAAAATAATACATTACCAAAATGCTGTCAGGTTGCTACTGGCCTCCTTTGTGTCTCAAAATCAACTCTTCATTTAGGTAAGCATGGCCTGAAGTGGTATGATGTCAAGGCAACTTAAGGAATTATTTAGCCTAAGTGGCATAGCCTTTGCTTTTGAAGTGACATAAATGGCAAATGTCTAGCTTTAACCTATAATGGCATTAAACAATGCAATAAAATTAAATCTAGTTACGTTTTATTGCACAGGATGGCACTATTCATTTATTCCCTTTACATTGAATGAGTAACTATGATGCAATCAGGTGTATGTAGGGACCAAGATAGATCTTTTTGAAGAAAGGAGTACAGATATAGCTACATCTCAAATGCCATGTGAGTGTTATCAACTCTTCAACTTAGGAACTAACTCAGACTTGATTTAAGCATGTCTCAAAGGCCCACCAGGTCAAGAACCAGTTGGCAAGAGCTCTCTAACCCTTCTCCCAGGAAGATTACACCATATAACTTATGGTCTGAAACAGGACACTTCTGAGAGTGAAATGTGCTGTGAATAATAATCAGGCCAGGATAATAAAGGTCAACAGGGGCTGTCCCAGACAAACCAGGATGTGTGATAACAAAAAACATGGCAATAAATCAGGAGAGCCAGATTTTTAGATAGCAGTTTGATGGTGTTTTTGAAACCCTTGGACTAAAAGGGCACTGGGAATTCAAATCAACCTTTAATTATTAATATCTAAGGGCAAGAGGTGGGGAGAACCTAAATTCACTTGCTCAATAAATATTTATGGAGTGCATACTAGTTAAAGAGACTGTGCTGAGCTCTGTGGAAGAATACAAAATGAATCAAAAATAATCTATGGCCTCAATGACTTACAGTCTTAGGAGGGTTGAGAAAGGGAAATAACTATAAATTAGGAAGTGAGATAAGTGTGAGAAGAGAGTTGGAGATATAGCACTCCAAGATCGATCAAGAGACAAAGATCATTCTCAGCCAGCGAAAGCAGGGAGTCTTCAGTCTTCTCCCTGCCAATGCTCAGTGACTATTATCATTGATTTCTTAGTGATTTTCAGTGTCAGCTATTCACTAACAGCACAATTACATCTATATAAGTTGCAATTCTATCATCAAGAACATTTCATCCACCCCAAAAGAAAGAAACATAAAATTGGGTTCACTGAAGGTATAAACCTGATGAAAAAGATGACGAGAACCACAAGACAGACGAAAACCATAAAGAATTATAAAGGGGATCTGATATTTCCTAAATGAGAGAATTTTGATTTATTTTAACTGAAAATAAATTCAGAGAAAATGTAATCAATGTCTTTTTTAAAACATTGACACATTATAAAGGCCATGGCTTTTGTAAAAACATTCATCTAAAAACTCATGAAAATATTCGAATGCAAAGGATTAAAAAACAGACGAGGATTGAACTAGAGTTTGCACTGAAATTGCAGTAGCATAATTTAGTTCCGTGAGTTAGTTTCCTTGACATATCTATGGCAGCACTTTTGTTTCTAGCATTTTGTGAAAAGTTTTCCTCTTTTTTAGAGGGAGAGGGATAAGGGTGATAAATCCCTTACTTTGAAATAGGTCTACCCAGTAATTCTGGTTCTAAAATCAAATGTTTGTAGAAATCTCTAAAACAGAAAGCACAAAATCCTTATCTTTCATATTTGTGATCCATACGGAACACCAGATTTCTGAATTTCATGGACAATAGTCTATTTTGAATAATTAGCCTAATACTTTGAAAATGGATACAGAGAAAGTCCCTATTCAGGAAATTGTTTAAAATAATCATAAAAATCTGTGAACTAACACAATCATCAGTATTCAGCATCTATTTTCAAATAAATAAAACTTCACATTATTTTCACAACTATCTTTAAATAGCACCAAATTTATCATCTCCATTTCACAGACAGAAGAATATTATATCTATTTATCCAAGACTATGTCATGAGGCAGTAATACTTAGCAACACAGTCCCTCACATTTGTCTAAAATTTTTTCTAGTAACAGATGAATAATGTTATTTGCATAAGACATAGTGACACAGCTCATTTTGTACCATTTTTAATGTCATATTTTAAAGAACTCTTCCCACTTAAGCTAAATTTAGTATTTCAGTTTTAATGTTTATAGCAAACTACAGTATATTTAAATTTCATTTTGAAGGCATTACAGAAGGAAAACCTAATTTCTGCACTATTGCTGAACACTCACTGAATTCTCTATACCCTAATTCAAGCATCCTATGTTTGAATGACTTTCCTGTTTTGTTACCATTACCTGCATGTTGACGTATGATGACCGTTGAGCAAGGTGGGCCCTTTCAGAGTTTTGCTGGGCAGCTGCCGCCCTCTCTGCGGCTCGCTCACTCCCTGGAGCCTTCTTGTCAGCCAAAGGGCTTTCTGCAGCACTCAGTTCAGGGTCTGAGAGCAACCTGTCAGTGCTGCTGTGAAACAGAGTTTGGAATTTAACACTCCGCTATCCATACAAATGTACTGAATGTTTCCTATGTGCCACATTTACTAGGCATGTTTACCATTGCCAACTATTTACATCTCATTTAATCCTCATAACAATGTTATGATGTAGGTACTACCGTCACACTCATTTCACAGATGAGGAAAGTACCTTGTCCAAAGGTCACACTTCCAATGTAAATGGTAGAGCCAGAATTTGAACCCAGGCATCGTGACTCTAGGACTAGAGCTTGAAACTATTTCATGATATACATTTATGTACATTATACATATGGCATATATGGTATATTCCATATGATACAGGTGGAATAGCTGTACAGACAAGATTTCCAATTTTTATACATCAAAGAAACATCAGTGACTCATGCATGCAAAGTAAACAGAGATCCAATCTGAAGGCATGCAGATGATGCAATTCATGTGTGTGAAATATGCATATGATATTGATAACAAATAAAGGTAGCAGATAAATGAGAAATATTCTCCAGAGCATGTTTAGGGGAATGGGCAGAGCATGAAAGTGTTTCTTATAATGGAGGCTTCTGAAGTGGTTCCTTATTGTCTTTGGAGACGGAAGCAGCTGGAGTTCACTTGTGTTTGGCTAAAAAATGCTGAGAGTAGAGGGGCATTTGTCCTTCCTAAATTAGGATTCTCTGTCCATCAATAAAAATCCCTTTCCTATTCTTTTCCTCCTGTCTTTGACTTTAGGTACACCTCTTTTTCGATGCATATAACACATGATACATACAGAATACATGCACCTCAAGTTCAAATCCAACTGTATGTTAGACTCAAATAAAATAGGGATACACAGTATCAATGAAGAGCTGAATTTATTCATTAATTCATGATTTTATTTATTCAACTATTCAGCTGTTGTGCCAGGGGAATTTAGAATAATTTAGAAAGGACTATTGGAATACAAAAGGAGGAACAATGAACTTTGCTTGACAAATGTTGACAGAGGCTTCACACAGGACATATGAATTGGGAACTAAAGGATATCCGCAAGTTCACTGGTGCCAAAAGCCTGGAGAAGAGCACATGCAATTCAGACTTGTGCTGGTTCTTAAGCCACAGTGTGAAAAGATCCGATTTGTGTTTCCAAGAGAATTTACTGGAGCAAAATAAAAGACAGATCAAGCTGATCAGAGACTGGAGGCAGGGAGACCATTCTGAAGGCTGCAGCTTAATCCAGATGAAGATGATGAGAAGGTTCAGAACATACTCAGTGATGAAAGGAATGAGTGTATACTTCAAATGCTTCAATAGTTAGAGGAAAGCAGAATCATTTCTCTAACCTATACCAAACAACATTAATTTTGAATATCAGTGCCAAGTAAAGAAAAACACAGATAAAGCTGAATTAGACAAAATGGGAATAATAATGATTAACTAACCAAAGTTTATAAAACAAAATGGATTTTAGTATGAAAGGGAGGAAAACACGAATATATATGCCAATCTTTGCATAAAGACACTCTGTAAGGATACGCAATGAACTAAATAAGACAGTAGAAGAAATCAGGTGGATGGGGTAGGTGGGACAGTGAAAGGACAAACCTCTCATTGTATAGACTGCCCAAAATAAATGGAAAAAGAAAACAGAGTAAGGATGCCACATGCGTAACTGCACTATGGTAAGGGAGAGTTATATTTGATACAATTTATATATTTCTACGCAATATGATTTGGAATGAATAAAATCATAACATCACCAAGCATTTATTTAAAAGTTCACAATTAATTACCATGGAAAAAAGGGAGTTATAGTTTCAGAAAGAAATTCAAAGCCAAATGAAAGAGAATGCACAGTTGGAAAATTCATACCAACAACAGAGAATAAAAACTGCCCTGCTGATTACTGAAGAGCAGAGAGAATGCTAAGGTTTCAGAACAACACAGGTGGTTTAGAGGACACAGGTATGAACCTAATCAACTAAATAGGGGAGGAGCTATAGAGACAACAGAAAAGGGTGAAAATCATCAGATATTATTCCTCAATAAAAATTTTTAAAAAGTAAAGATAAAATGAAAAAGCTCATGGATGAGATCAAACCTGACTTGAACTGAAGAGTACTAACTATTGAGTTTAAAACAAATTTAGCCTGTTACATACTTTCTTTCAAAGGATCAAGGCTTTTAATATTAAAATACATACTGTAAGTGTGAGTTTTTCGTGCCTTGCAATAGTTCCACTGTCTGCCTCTTGGCACAGGAAACCTTGGAGGGACCCATCATCTGTTTCAAGTCACCAGCATTCCCAGAATGGGACGGACTTCGAGGCATACCTACTTCAACAAAAGCATCATTACAACCTGCAGAGGAGAAGAAAAAAAAGTGAGACATCTAAACATCATCATCTGACAGTTGATAATTACCTACAATGGAAACAACCCAGAACCCAAGTCTACGGTGACATGATCAGCCTGACACGGGTGTAACAGCTTTCATCTGCAAAAAGGACACCTTCACAAATTCAGGCTGTCACAAAAACCCAATTTGAAGATAAGATCCTCATATTTTTTAAAGATTATTTGGGGTATAAGGGTTATAAAAAGACACTCGGTTATTTATATATATATATATATCTCGCATTTGGTAAGTTGATGCTTTCCTGCTACCCGATTACCTTTCCCTTTAATTTAGGAAGGTGCAATGTAATGTGGAAGTGATTCTTTCCTTGGAAAGTCCTTTTCAGTTAATTTCTCACCATGTTCTTTGGAATTTTATTCAAGACATTGTCTTTCTACATAGTTCGGGATGAGTCATAGTTGGTTAGCAAAAACAACTCGAAACCACTGCATAGACTCTCTACGACCCTCTTGTTATCCAGGTAACAAACTAGATTGAATTTCAGCAGGAAAAATACAGTTCCTGACCTTCTGCAGGGCTTGATTTGGGAGATGCCTGCTCAGACACCGTTGTCTGGATAGATGGATCACCATGATTCGCACTCAGCACTTTCTCTCCAAGGGATGAAGTGGATATTGCACCATACTTTATATTCGGAGACTGAAATAATAATAGAAAATAACATATAGATATGATCATAAATTTACAATTTAAAATTCATTTCAGGTGAAGGTTTAACCATTATTACCAGTGGCTTATCTCTTACAAACAGCATAGATCACACCATTCTAACAGAAGGGCAATACCTGTGCATGTCCATTTAAAGTAGCAGAGATTTTTTTGCCTTCTGTCTGCAGACTGTTGATATCAACAGGAGTCAAGCCAGGAGGGGGAGACGGAGCCGTGTGCCCATAGGTAGGCACTCCGGACAACAAAATATTGGTTAACGTGGCTTGGGCAGTAGATGGAATCATAAGGTGTGGTATTGCAGAAAAACCTATACATTTCATGAAGACAGATATTAGACAGGAAAAAACTCAGCATCACCACTGTTATTTTCAATAACAATAAAAAAATGTCATTTTTGTTGCTGCAAATTCAGAAAAGAACTCAATTTTGAAACCTTCTGCAAATAGGTTTAACATTATTGTAAGGACAGAAAAGAATACTAAAATGGAACAACACCATAGAGAATATATAGCCCAAGCCCCTCGTTATACAGATGAGGAAACTAGCTAGGCTGAGCATGTGCTCATGACTACCAAGCAAGATAATCCAACTAGAGCCAGCGTTTCCTAACTACAGGGTCAATACTCTTCATGTGCCTTTGCCACTCTTTCCTGCACATCATACTCTTTTCCTAATTTGCTTATCACATTTGAAGATTATATTTTACACCTGTATGAAAAACTCACTTCCTTTTTTGTGCTTTATTTTAACTAATTTACACACTGGGGAATTTCTGTTCGGCTGGAGTATGCTGTGAACCATAATTTTTCCCTACGGAAACCAAGTCATTAGTAACTTTTATTTAAAAAACCAATAATATCCAAGAATATATGCCTCTGAGTATACTTGAATGATACTCACCTGTGGCACTTGAAGTATTAGCAAGTGGGGGTGCCCATAACGTGGGGCTGGGGGTGCCAGAACTGGGACTTTGCAAAGGACTGACTGAGCTATTAAGGGCATTCAAGAGTGAGTTTGGGGTTGTCGAAGTGTTTAAAGATAAGGTGGTGGGTCCCAAAAGACCTGTAACAAATAAACGTAAAGTCAATACACAGAAATTCAAGATTTTAAAATAGAGATGGCACCAATATTGCCATTTGGGATGCACACTGACATAATCTGATATTTTCTAAGTATAAAATATGGGTGACAGATTTTCTTTCAAATATTCACACGAAATATTGCATTATACAACTCCCACACAGGAATTAGCTTATCCACAAACAGATGCTATCAGGAGATGGAAGACAGGTGTGCCCAAACCTGGATGGCAGTCAGGGTCGCCGAGCAGCACCAGGTTCTTTGTGTTCATGTCAACTGGCCAGGATGCTCAAGCAGAGACCCATTTTTATTTCTCTGTGTAATTCACTTGTCATCGGCTTCCAACCAAACCCTTTTCAAATCGCTCACATTCATCAGTGACTATGGAAAGTTTTCCTCCGGTAGGAGGGATCTATTTAGCCCATTTACAGATAGGCTGAGCTATAGGCAACAGTTTTTAAATGTATGTTGAAACACATACATGACTTCTTTGGGCTCCCTCTCAATGACTAAAGGTTTTCTCAGAAAAAAAATATTGTTTTTTGTTCTAAGGAGTCAGTGCTTGAATTTAAGTAATTAAATTCCCCTTTGGGCATTTAAAATATGTTCTAAAACAAAATGTGGATTTATAACAAGTTTCTAGGAATACACATAAATCATTAAGTATTACAGGATAGGTATAGCCATGAAAACATTTTAAAAATTGAGTAATTCAGAGTCTTTGCTCACTTATTTTCTCTCTAGTGCAGGATGAACTTGGTTCTTGCTAAGTAATATAATTGGCATTTTCTGGCTCACAGGCATTGCTATGTTATTTATTTATTTTATTTTATTCTATTTTTTTTGAGACAGTCTCACTCTGTTGCCTGGGCTAGAGTGCCATGGCATCAGCCTAGCTCATAGCAACCTCAAACTCCTGGACTCAAGCGATCCTTCTGCCTCAGCCTCCCGAGTAGCTGGGACTACAGGTATGCACCACCATGCCTGGCTAATTTTTTCTATATATTTTTAGTTCTCCAGGTAATTTCTTTCTATTTTGGTCTCAAACTCCTGAGCTCAAATGATCTGCCCAGAACGCTAGGATTACAGGCGTGAGCCAGCATGCCCGGACCATTGCTATGTCATGATGACTCTCTTCAGGTCCCAGTGGAAGGAACAACTTTGGTAGGTTAGCGGCCAAGATAAAAAAAAATCCTTCTTTACTGTAATGATGTCTAGGCAGGGCTACTTGGAATCTCAATCATATTATAATCATATTAAAATTTGTAAAAGAATAGCTACTAGAAAAAATTTTGTAATTTTGCTGACAGTATTTTTTGCTTCAAATCAACACTGAGCAAGGCAGAATGATTTGCTAAGATTACTGCATTAACTAAAATACAGGCAACTGAGAAACATGCAAGAAAGTAGTGAACCTAGCATAACTGTGTAGAGACACTAACTTCTGCCTATAAGATGGCAATCCATAGATGAGGCCATAAACTATAACGATGATTATTAAGTGGCTCACCCTGCTTTCTTAAAGAACTAAAGCACTGAGATGATGTTGTTTACTCATTTTGCTATTCCCCGCCTTAGATGTGAACACAGGTCTGGCTGCAGGCTAGATGTCCTTTGTGTCTTGGTGAGGCAAAGCTAACACCACTGGGGGAGGGGGCTTCTGCTTGTTTTCACCTCCTCCTCGCCCTAACCCGCATACAGATTTGCAATTACTTTTTGAAAAGCAAACGGGATAATCTTTATCTCTAGGGAATGATGGCAATATTGCAAATGCAAGAGAGAACAAACACATAAATTACAGTCAGCCTGCTCACTTCAATCTTAATGGCATTCTTAATTTAGAAGCACATACACAGCCACTGAAAATAAAACAGTCAGACCTTGATTATATATGCCAACATGGGGAGAACCTAGATAACAGAAAACCAGAGTCTAACAAAAAAACCAAAGTGGACTGGTGCAAGTTTTGTTGCTTTTCACCTGATCTTAGGACCTGAAGAAGAAAAAAAAAATAGACTTTAAATGTAGACCTGAATGGTAGAGAGAAAGGGAACCAGATAAGCATTTCCCCAGTGACTGAGAAGCACTGTAATAATAAATTTTATACCTAGTCCAGTGAGTCCGAGGCCTGCTGAAGCTAAGATATCCAGGCTGGGACATGCCAGGCCGGCAGGGCACGATGCTGGGGACGGACTGGTTGCTATGGTAACCCCACTGCTTTCAAGTCCGAGGAGACATTTCCTTGCTTCATACATATTTAAGGCATTTCGCTCAACACTTTTCACAATCACAGACTATGAAAACACATAATGGGGGAAAAAAGTGACATGCGAGTAGTCTACAATGGATGGGGGAAGGGGGTCGGGAAGGCAGGTGGAAAATGAATATGCTAATAAGAATTCCACTCGGGGACTTATTAATGCTGCTTTAAAATCAACTGCAAATTCTAACCACTTATTTTTTAAGTTTACTCCTTCTGGTAAAACTCTAAAACCTTAGTTACCATTTACTGGGCGTATCTTGTGTTCCCAGTGCTGTGACAGAAGCTGTACATGTTCCATTTCTCAGCAAAACCACATGGGGTGGGAATCGTTATTCGTGTTCAGTGAAGTTAAGGGACTTAGCCAAGGTCTCTCACGGCACAGCTGTGGAAGGGCAGCGAGAGGATGGGACCGCGGGTCCGACTCCACAGCCCATTCTCTGACAGCCTCTCATCTTTACGCAAAAGCTTCCCTGCTTTTATCTCATCTTTACGAACCAAATTAAACTTGTCACCATACATAGGCTGCATAATGACAGTCACTTATGTTTGACATTTATAGTCTACTAGTTAACTAATAGACTTTGAGGTAACCACTATTCCTCATTGATGACATATGTATGGCAAAGCTTATGGTAAAAAAAAATTGCTAAATAATAAATCATTTATCCCCCCCAATGGACTCATTTTGAAAACTGGGAATGTGAGCCCATGGGGGAAAGCCTCCAATGCACAGTAAAGAAAATTTGTGGCTGAGAAAGTGGTTAAAGTAGTAGTTAAAATAGGGGCCAGCTAGGCATAAGTCAATGGCTCTGGGATGCTACAAGGCTCCAGAGTTCTCATTTATAATCTGTTTTTCTCCAACCCCTAATTTCTTACCGAACTCTTGCAATTCTTCTTGTGCCTACCCATCTTTATATACACAAGCCCTCAAATATCTCTTCTGTCTTTATCTTAATCCTGATACCTACAGCGACCCTAGTCAACTCAAATTAGTCAAACATGAAGCTCACAATACATAAAATCAATGTCCTGTTATCTAACTATAAATTCATTATATCAAGTTCACTTAGAATCAATGCTATCTTTTCCTTTAAAGTTTTGTTTTGGAGAAGGCATGATTATTTTTCTTCAGTTGGACAGCAAATACCACATTTACACATACACAAACTTATATATAATACATATTGAACACATACCATTCTACATTTAAGATTTATAGCTTAGAAATTAAAAAATAAAACACATGACTGGTGTTTTACTTATTAGAATAAGTTAGGGAACTCAACTCAGTTCAGGAATTATTTTCTATGTTTTTCTTCTAAACTTTTCATAAATTTAACACTGTTACATTTTACACATCCTTTTATTTTGAAGAGTTTTTTTAAAAAACTTAGAAAACCAAGATTAATATAACAACTATGTACCAAACCCCAGAACTGTTATTTTTTGTTTCTGATTTTTGTTAAAGAAATCAAACATTCTCTTATTTACTTTCCTAGTTTCATATTCCTTCCTACTGTCCCAAGGCAACTCATCATGAATTTGCTGTCTATCCAGCCAGACAATGCTTTGTACTTTAAAAACGTACACCTACCTAAATGCAACCATTTAGTACATATAATCATGCAATTTGCTTTTTTTTTACTCAACACCATTCTTGTGTTGAATTCTGGTGCAAAGCAAATGCTGGTTGACTTCTGGAAGTCAACTCTTCAGAGAGTATAACTGAATGTAGAACTGCTGCAGGTAGGTTATCAGCACTTCCAAAGTGATCAGATGGTCCCAAATTGCTCTTCAAAGTGGTTGTGCCAATTTACACACAATATTAATGTAGGAACATTCCTGTTTACTCATTCTCACTAGCACTTAAAATCAGATTTGTTACATTAAATTTTTACTGTAAATGTAATTAATGAAATTTTGCAACTTCCTATAGGAAAAGTTCCAGGAAGGCTGAACTAAGGACAATTCAGTACTTAAAGTTTTATTTATTAAAAATAATAGGCACCTATTCCTTAAATCTCCAAGGCTAGCATAATGGCTGGCATATAGTTAAGTACTCTAAATTTTTAAAATTACATTGGATATGTACACACACACATACATATACATACGTAACACGTATGTAGCTTTATCAACTCTTTGGTAACTTAGTAAAGCTTAAAGTTACCAGATTGCAAATTAAGAAAAAATGTTTTTCTTTCTTTCTCATATATTTATAGAAAAAATAATGGTTATGAAAACTGACTCCAAAAACCAATCACACATATAAAGAAAGTGATGATCAATAATACATAGTTACAAATTTATATTTATGTAACTAAATATATAATGATGTATATATTATATGGGTTGAGTGGCCCTTATCTGAAATGCTTGGAACCAAAAGTATTTTAAACTTCTGTCATTTTCAGATTTTGGAATATTTATACTGGGTTGAGCATCCTTAAACTGAAAATCTGAAATCTGAAATGCTCCAATGAGCATTTCCTTGGAGTGTCATGTTGGTGCTCATAAAGTTTCAGATTTTGGAGCATTTCAGACCTTCGGATTAGCAATTCTCAACCTGCATAGAGTATTAGTTTCATGTATAGGCAAATACACACTTGTATGCAAAATAACACTACATACAATACAATACGATACGTGATTCTCCGGGTCTAGACTCTGAACCAACCTTGCTTGGCTGTTTTGGCTTTGGTTTAATACTGATGAAGACATCGAGCTGTTCCATCAACTGGGCAATGAATTGTGGATCTACTTCAATTTCTTCCTTCATATCAAACATCAACACAAGAGGAAGACAACCCTAGAAAATGTCACAACAGAATGTTTAGGAGGTAAAAAATTAATCATTTAAACACCTCATAATTTAACATGCCTGCAAATAATGCAATATTTTCTAGATTCAAAGAGTAAGCCAAAGTATTATAGCTAAATTATATACCTTCACATGGCTTGGAGGATTAGTGTGGGAATAATGTTGAGGGGGAGAAAACTATTTTTTTGATGATAAAATTATATGTCTTAAGTTTCTGGTTTTGGTCCTGAATTTTTTATCCACTCTGTACACCTTGGAAAATTCCTTTATTCTCTCACTTCAGTTTTGTTAGTGATCGTAGAAACCAGATTCTCAACCACACCAAGGGTACTAATCTTGTGCTTTTGCTCAATGACTTACAATGGTGGCTTTTTACTGTATCCTGAATGAAAACTAAACGTGTACCAGCATTTAAAGAGCTCTGCATTTCAGCCCAGACTTGCTTGTCCAACCACAGATCTGTATGCCTATATGTCTGCCCTTCCTCCAAGACAGACCAGCCTCTAAACTATCCTTTAAAGGGATCCTGCATTTTGGAATCTTAACTAATCAAAGGCTCCTTCACCAACACAAATCCTGCTTACCAAGGCAGCTCAAACCTTTCCTCCTTCCTGGAGTAAATTGCTACTATTATCCCTTATTTAACTATCTCGCTTTTAGCACTGAAGAGTTTAGATATTTTTTTCTCTGATACTTTCTTCCTTTCCCCTAATCTACTCAGTACAGAAACCATGTAGTGCTAGCTCACTGGCTGCTGGATTTTGTACATACATCTCAGGAGAAGTTACCACTAAACATACCAGGATAAAAATGAAATACTATGCTTCATTTCTCTTGTGGATAAAAGTGATTTTTTATAAGGACGGTGCTATAAAAAAAAAGGTGATGGCATTTAAAATATAGGTTAAAGCCTTTTATTTCTCCCTGACTTCTTTCAAAATTGTGCAATAATGTGTCATTTCATTTTTGGCAGGTATGGTCAAAGTATGAATGTGAATTCATAACTGCACAGAATAATGTCTAAAAAACTTGTAAGCATAAAAAAGAAAATATGAAAAATAATCATAACCATTCTTAGATATGAATATACTGTCTGACTGGTAGTTAAAAATAATCTGATAAAATAATTTGGCTAAAACAAAATTATTCACAATAAAACAAATTTAATAAAATCCTGGATTATAATCCTTAATGATTATAACAAGTTCTCATCTGTCAGAGGAATGGAATAAACAATACAAACTTGGATTTTCTTAAAGTTTCTCAAAAACAAATTCTGCAAGTTAATAATAGCAAAGGTCACACCTGATGCTTAACTGATTCAAATGTCAGTAAAGGTCAAGCAATGAATGAGAGAATACAATGGTGTTTTTGATAAGAGTATTTGTGAGCCTAGCATTATATCCATCCATTTTGTTACTATATACCAACTCACTCACTGGGGTTTTAAATGAATATAGGAAAGACAGAAATATTGTAAACTATAAATTGGAGACAGTATTGAGTTATAGCATACAACTCTGTTTTTCTTCAATAAGTGATGCTCAAATTTGTGGCTTAAATGGTATTTTAATTGTAAACAGTATTTTATCAGAGATTTATGAAACGTACAAATATTTCAGGCTGCCAACATTTGTGTCTTTGAGGGTGAAATTTAAATGATGTTTTTACTTTTCTGATTAAACAGAAGACTTTTTGGCCAAATGCAAACTGCACACTAATATTACATGTCAGATGAAAACAATCACTTTGTATCCATGCCACAAAATACAGTCGATTACTTCAATGTAACCTCTTCTGTGTCTGGCCTAAGTTAAAAAAAAAAAAAAAAATACTGCAAGAAAATTACTCACCTAGGCAATGAAATTAAACCTTTTGAGGCACGATGAACCTTACTCTTCCAGTTATTTTCTTTTACCAAGAAACTTCCTTATTTGACCAGGCTTCCAAAGTACTTTCTTAAATATCACCTTAGTACAGTGGGTACAGCAACACAGTGTATCCAAAAAGGTCAAAAAATAAAAATGGTAACACTTATTTCTGTAATCTTACCATGAGATATTGCCTTGCAAGACAGACAGACTCAATGGTGCCCTGGAGGTAGACAGTGGATTTCTTTTGTGGATTACTAGGATCAGGAAAGTGAATCTGAGCACCCGTTCTCTGCATGATATGTTTGATGTTGCTCCCATTTCGACCCATCATAAAGAGATGATGTTGAGCTGCAATATCTAGCTGTGTGCTCACGGGAATGGCCGATGCTAAGCTCCCGGCAAGATGTTCTAACAGCATGGCGGTTCCTTCCTATGAGAAATGGGTGGGAGGGGAATAATCCTATAAAATAACTATTCATATAGAGAGAAAGATTCTATCCACTTCTAACAGCTATGGAAGAACACAGCAAATTCTATAAGCCAAAATATAATACAAAGGAAAATTCTGGAAAACAAACTAGTCTAATATCCTTTAAAAATAAAACTTGCATGATCTGTACATTTTGATGATCAGAATTATCTAAATCATTTACCTTCACAGCACTAGTGTTATTCTGAGACCCTCGTACTATGACGGTAGCACCATACATTCGGGAACGCTGTTTAAATGATATGGAAATGTTGTACGTTTGTGATATGTGCTGAATAGAGGGGGAATTGGGATCAGGAACTGGTTGAAGAATTCCAGCAATCGGTAGCTCAAACATCAGCACCAAAGGAAGCAGCTCCTAAAATGAAATGATGAGAACCCAAAGGAGATAGTTAAAATATTATACATTTAGAGACGTATATAATTCATTGGTTCTTTTCTGAATATGTATTTTCAAACATAAATTGCTTTTACTGCAGATATAAGCTTAGGTAGACTAATATATTTTTTTTTTTTAAATGAAAGGAATCTTTTGTGAAATCTGAGAGTTTGTAACTCATAATGCCTACAGCATTTTTCCTCAGGCTTCTTTCGGATCATTTAAAAACATCAGAGACACTCAGTCAGATGAAATCCAGAATGTCTCTAAGAAACATCATAGATGAAAAAAAGAGGATAAATAACATAGAAACTCATTTTTTAAATGCCTACAATAAAAATTTACATAATGAATGCTGAAAAACACATTAAAACAACTTTTGCCACTATTTTCTACTTACTAAACATATGATTTGGTTATAAAATGATAGATTATGATTTTTAATGCCTTATAATACAAATGTTGCTGACATCAACATACAAATATTAAAGTAATAAAAAGTTACCCGAATTCTAACTCGGGCAGATTCTACTCCTGCCGGTTGTCCTGCTATAGATACCTGCAAAAGTAAGAAAATACAGAATTAGATTTATTTCAATCTAATTCACATCTGCTTTTCCAGTTAATCTACATCCTTGCTATTCAAAGTGTCGTCGAGGGACAAATAGCAACAGTATTATCTCAAAGCTTGTTAAAAGTGAAGGATCTCAGGCCCTAATCCAGACTTGCTTAATCAGAATTTGCATTTTAATGAGATGCTCAGGTGATTTGTGCCACCTGATCTGTATCATACCTTGGACTTACCTGAAGCTCCACAGCCCCCACGAGGCCATCCTACTCTCTTTATAATTATTCTTGTTCACTGCATTTTCTCCCTTTTGTTTAAACTCTTTGCATACCAGATGCATATCAATATTCTGTGATATGGCTGCACTAGGTTCTGAAAATGTTGAATTTCTTCCACACCAGATAGTGAATAATCATTGCTCTAACACCCACCTGGAGCTTTCTCTTGGGATCTCTTGGACCTTCCCATGATTCATCAATTACAGCATTAGTCTTGGCATTGGGGTGGGGGTACAGGGGTTCCAGGACACTACTCTTTGGGCTGATGGCCATGCAATACCAGTTGTCAAATATTCCAAATATTGATTGCCCTTGCTTTTACTATGGCTTTCTATCTCGTACCTTATGCATACATCCCACTGTCACCATTAGTCCCTGTGGAGAAAAGACTATTTCTTATTCATCTTTGTGGCTCACAGTTTCTAGTATTATGATTAGTTTAGAAGAGAGAACACTTCCAAATAACACAAATAATACTATCTGTTGGCCGGGCACAGTGGTTCACGCCTGTTATCCTAGCACTCTGGGAGGCCAAGGCGGGCGGATCATTTGAGCTCAGGAGTTCGAGACCAGCCTGAGCAAGAGCGAGACCCCATCTCTACTAAAATAAATAGAAAGAAATTAGCTGGACAACTAAAAATATATAGAAAAAATTAGCTGGCCATGGTGGTGCATGCCTGTAGTCCCAACTACTTGGGAGGCTGAGGCAGAAGGATCACTTGAGCCCAGGAATTTGAGGTTGCTGTGAGCTATGCTACGCCACGGCACTCTAACCCGAGCAACAAAGTGAGACTCTGTCTCAAAAAAAAAAAAAAAACTACTATCTGTTCTTCAAGTATTGAAAGTGCTTACATGTGGACAGATGAGTTCCATTTGTTTGCAAACAGAAGAACCATGAAAAATGTATATAAACTAGAGAGAGACATAATTCACTCAATGTAAGAAGTCAAGCATTCACACATTGCCTCTCACAGGGTGATCTGGTGTAGCCTAGAGGACCACTTCTGAGTTTTTGCAGACAGAATCCAGGCAATGGAAACTTGTCAAGCTTCCAGGTCCTTTCTAACAGAAATACATCCTCAGCCTTTCCTTAGGTGCTTCATTTTGTGGCCATCAGATTCTCCCCTCTTTTTTATCAACCATTTAGAGATCAAGAGTTTAGGGTCCACCTACAGCTCATCTCCTCAAAAAAGCACAGCATCTTCAGTTTCCTTGCAGGCAGTCGTACAGTGCATACTACATGTCAACTGTAGGACTACTTTTTTGTTCTCACCTCTCAAAAAAGACATGCACCCTGAAAATGAAGGCTGTAATTCACCCCATAAAAGTTCACATGAAAAGACAAATCACCTGGTTGCTTTTTTCTGCTTGGTTATTCCTGTTGGAATCTGGGAAGTGGATGTGGCATCCAGTTTCTTCCATCACTTTTTTAATATTGTTGCCACCTTTACCGATTACATGTGAATGTTCTGTATGTGAAACATCCATCTTCAACGTGACCCGATTGCTCTATGTAGAAATGAGGTATTGTTAACTGATGCATGAAAAAGGAAAGACCAACTTCCTAAAACGCTTGGCTGCCAAGGGAATCAGAACAGTACTAACAAAAAATGAGCCGGTAGGTAATCTTTCGAATTCCTTAATAAGACCATCTACATCTACAAGGGTTCAATTTCTATTAATTCATTTCTCTTTGATTATAAAAAAGAAATTCTCAGTTTAAGACAAATTTGTCAGAAGAAATAGAAAATATAGTCTTTACCAAGATAATTTTTTGGAAAATAGTCTTTAGAAAAAGTCAACTACAATTACAAATAAGTTACTCACGTTCTCTTTAAAGACATTTTTCATGAAACATTTAATTCAAATAACTAAAAATAGACAAAAACACAATTACAAGATATGCATGTTAATAGGACTGTAGGACTAAGATGATAGAAAACTAGAAATAAAAATAAAGCTCAAAACTGTGAATAAGGAAATATTTACAAATGTGCTTTAACAACTTCTATATATGTATGTTAAATGTTACAAAGTAGATCTATTATTCTCTCTGGTAGGAAGAAGGGTGAGGAAAAGGTCACAAAGCATAGATGCCTGGCAATAAAATGGCTTAAGTAAATTAATACAAAGTATATTTGTTATGTTAAAGCAAAATGTAAAATTCCAAGACAAAATGAATAAAAACACTATGGTCATAATGGAATTCATGTATGTAATTTTGGTATGAAATTTAATGTTGTAAAATTGTAAAGACTGACATGAAATCCTTTCTCATTTATAAAACTGTTACTGAAATTCTTCGGTCCTTAAAAAGTAAAATCAAAAAGTCAAAATACAACAAGATTTTAAAAATATCAATAAGTTTAAACCTTCTGAATTCTTACATGTTAAAACACCCATTAAATATTTTATTTTTAAACTTAGTTCTTCTCTAAGTTTAACCTTTGAAATACAAAAAATCAATCCCCCTTTTGGAGAAAATTCTAAAATATTTAATAACTGTAAGGTAAATGATTTTAAAAATTTTTTTTAAAAAGAACAAAGAGAAGACAGACATAAAAAGAGGAAGAACGAAAGAAAGCAAGCAAGAGAGAGAGATCAGAGACCATTCTAATGAAATACCAGGTGGCAAAACAAAGTGGTTAAGAACAAGACAGCCTGGATTTGAATCCCACCTCCTCACTTACCAGCTCTGGGATCCTGAGCAAATTACTTAGTATCTCTATATTGACTTAGTTATGAGGATTGAACAAATTAATTTTTGTAAAATGTAAAGTGCTTAGCAAAGTGGCTGGTATACAATAAGTGATTTAGATGTGTTCATTAAGGAGAATAAATTCTCACACATGAATATACATTTTTACATATTTAAACTTCCGTGTTATTTCTCTATACATATATATACCTGGAGAGAGAGTGAGCATGATTACATAAGAGAAAGCATCAAATTTCATGCCATCACACATACAACACAGAGCTATGCAGAAGATCATTCTAGTTTTCTACTGGCATCATAAAGGCAAATATGTTAATTATTACAATCTTTATTACTTACCCTATGCTACCTAGGGCCAATTTATGTTTCTGAAGATGGTATATATGTACATACATATGTGCATATATTACATATATACATATATATTAATATGTACGTGTGTGTGTGTATAGTTCAATTACCCAGCATGAGAGAACCTATTCAAATATTAAACAGAACTTTACATCCACTGTAGAATCACATGTGCTTATTTTAAAACCCACCATTACTTTCTCCTGGTTTTTCTTCTCCAAATGGTTCTTTCATAACGGCATGAAGTAGCCCTTGTAGAGACAAGGTTCTGACATCTGAGTGTCCTTAACATTCACTTACTTTTGTGTCTAAGACAGACATGATCATTTCCTTGGCTTCTTTAACATCTTCCTTCTTTCCAGAAACCTTAATATGGGGATCTATAAGAAATCAGAAACAAAAGGCTCATGTAAAACCCCCAAACTCTGCTTTAGCACTGAGTTAGGACCTAACAGATCCAAAATAAATTCAATATTTGTTTTATTAAAAAAAAAAAAAAAAAAACAGGAATACAGAAAATACCCAAATTGCACATTATCTGTGGCTTTCTTCCCTCTGGAAATTTGCTAATCCATTTAACTTTAAAATTTTTTTCAAAATAAGTATATCATATGATAATTGCAAAATAAATATATCATAATTATTTTTAAAGAAGTGAGGAGTCTATAAACTGAACTTACTATTTTAGCTCATTACATTCCAGGCCCTGTTCTAAAGGTTTAAATGCATTAATTCATTTAATCCATAAAGCACTGCTTTGTGAGGTTATTTACAGAAGAAACTAAGGCACTGAGTGGTCTGGTAACTTGTCCCAGAAAACCACTCAGAAGCTTGGTCATTATAATCCAGTATCTTCCTACTATCGATCCATACTTTAAACTATGTAATAATTTAGAAGATATCCTTACAGATCAGGGTTAATAGAAAAAAAATTTAATTTTCATTGAGGAATTATTTAATATTTATCCAGAGTTAGTATTCGGTGACTAATACATGCTGTCTATTGTTTATTACTGCCTCTGAATTTTACACAGGAAAGCATTAAATCTTCGACAGATATTTTCTGAACTTCTAACTATGCACAGGCACTGTTCCAGGGACCAGGGGATAGATAATGAAGGAAAAAGACCCCTGGCCACAGAAAGCTTGCAGTCTTGTGCAGGGAGACAAAAAAAGAATCAAATTATCTAATATATTAGAACATAAATGTTATGGAATAAAGAAAAAGGAGAGCAAGACAAAAGGATGAGGAGTACCAACTATCAGAAAGCGGGGGGTGGGAGGGGGGAGGCGGGAGCAGTAGGCTTCATTGAGAAAGTGAGGTTTGAGTAAAGGCTTAGAGGAGGTGGGACACTTGGCTGAGCTGGAATCTTCCAGGTGGAGGGAGAGACATCAGAGCCAAAGGGCTGGGGACATGCCTCTTCAGTTCTTTCTTTAATCAGGTTTTTAAGTCACTCCAGCAATCTAAGTGTTCTATTACCTTAGAGGTCAGCCTGACACAGATGAAGACCATTCTGGGGTAAGGCAAAAGTCCTATAGCCATTAGCTTTACTGACAAAGCTGAATAACACACAGAAAATTTATTATGATTATCACAACCATCGATAATACCAACCTTACTGAGTGCCTACAATGTACTGACTTCTCAGCGGAGTCCTTTATCTCCTGTACTATGCATTGAGTCAGTTGACGGAGTCACCAAATGTTTACTGAGCACCTTTCACAATTAACTAGTAGATCTGCCTGAATCATCAACTCTTCTAAAGCATGTATTCTCTAGGATAAGGAATCAGAATCACAGGGTGGGAATTTTATCTAAACCACACATATGAGGTCTGTCTGGAAAATATTGAGCCATTGTTAATATAATGAGTATATATTACGTGGCTGGATACTTTCCGGACAGATGTTGTACCTCTTGATATTGTGATCTCCCCACCCCCGTCCCACAACCCTGGTGACTAACAATGCCACGCTGAGCACATCATATTCTAAAGGTGCAATTGGGCAATTCCCTCTCTCCCGCCCCCCAAAAAAGAGAAGAAAAAGTGAAGGAGGAAGAAAAGAAAGAACCAAACCATATTCTTAAAGCTACCCACTGTTATTAATAGGACTAAGGTGATGAAATCATAGTTTACAATGGTGCACCACATAGCTTTGGAGTTCAGGACTGCCTCTGGCCTCCTGGGGGGCATCCAGCAGCTGTGCTTATTTGAGTCAGTGCCATCACTTCCACCCCCTGCCCTGCGCTGGCTGCTCTTGGCCTCAGGCACATCTTCTTATCCTGTTTTTTAATCCCTCCTCTGACACCTAACCTGTCACAGGGGCATTGCGAAGACCAAAGGCCTTAAGATTGGTTGAAACTTTCTAAAATATTTTAAATATCAGCTATTATAAAGTGAGGGCCTAAGTGCAGGACACAGGGAATGTCTGACCCCCACAAGCTGAAAGAGAACCCAATGGTCCAGCATCTCTTATTTCCATTGCTTGTTCCCTAATGATCCTCATGAGGACCAGGACCACCTTTTCTCTGTAATACCCTGGCCAACTTTGACCACACTTATGTAAACAGAGCATTTTCTTCAGTAATTCTTACTATGTCCATTATATCTCTTCTAAGCAATATTTACACAAAGAGTTGTCTACCTTCAAAATTTCAGTCTCAACTATCCTTAACTTTGGTTTGGGTTACTGTTGGCTGACACTGGTGTTAACCTGTACTGAAAATGCTCACTTCTACCGTGGGTGACTACAACCCAGTGTTTCTCAAAATTTGCCTGCTAAACTACAGGTTCCCAGGCCTTGAGGACCTGGTAATGGGCATTTTATTGGTTTTCCAAGTGATTCTTAAATGAACCATAGGCAACAGCAGATTAAACCACACAAATATTTTAATTGTAGTCGCTTATCTATTCACCAACACCAAATACATATGATACAAAATGCTTTACAGGATAAAAATGTATTTTTCTCATAACATAAATTAAGTATTGAGTAGCATGATAATCTGTAAACCTATTACTTTAGGTTGGATAACCACATTAAAATTCCTATGCATCTGTAGAGGAACAGAGAACTTTTAGATCTAATTTAACAAAGAATCTGATTTTCCATCATATTTGCATCAGCCTAACAATAAGCAAAATAAAAAGCAGAAGGCGCAATAGAAAAGTCTTTCGAAGTGAAAGGGCACCATCTAGTGACCAAAAATATAAATTATCAACTACAGTCACCACTATGTACATTTGTCTCCAGGACCTGAATTAGCACTTTTTTTGAAAAGTGGGTTTTTAAATAGTCCAGTTTAATAAAGACCGAGAGAAACAAACATGACACAATTCTGGTTTAGACTGCTAAGGTGGATAATAGCACTGCACTTCTCATCCCCTCTTTTGCCCTTGCTTAGAAGATACACACAAGATGTGGGGCTCTTACTCCAGGTTGAACTTAACTTACTCATTCTCACTCCTGGAATACAGTTCTCTGCTGTCAATGCCTGTTACAGTTTACAACTCAAACGTGTCTGTATAATACCACAAGAAACTAAGCTTTCATTCATACTCATTCTGGAAATACTCAACAGAGAAAAGTCAAAAGTATCAAACCACACTATTAAACACAAAAATGAGGAAAAGGTCCACTAAAAAGAGTGTTAGAAGATAGTAGAGAAATAGGGAATAAGCATATAGATTCCCCCTCTCAAAAGTAATTGCTTTGAGGAACAACTCCAATTTAGGCATGAAGGTTTTGAGACATTTACTCTAAAAATAATGTTCCTTACTTTATAACCAACCTTCAAGCTCCCTGAACACAGGAATCATGTTTTATTTGGTTTTGTAGCTGACATAGTGCCAAATAAATGGTAGATACTGAGTAGGCTGTTGCTTCATGGCTCCCATATTTTAGTCAATCGCTAAGTACAGAGGGAGGGGATGGAATTCAGTAGCAAGAGCCTGAACCTTATATCCAAGGTGACCGTATGTCCTGCACTTCCCACAATAGTTCTTACTCCAATATTCTGATCTTAGTACCTCTATAAAAATACATAAAACTGTCAGATATTCATCCAGACTTGTTTTTAGATTCCCACCCCATCCATCTGCTCACATCTCTCTGGTGTCATCCTGTGGAAGAGAAGAAGACCAGATGGTAATCCAACCTTTACTAAGTGATATGAAGCTGTGACAGACATGTGTGTGAATAGGGATTTTATTTATTTACTGTTTATAATTTTTATTTCAAAATATTAGGGAGTACAAGTGTTCTTGTTACATGGAGGGGTCATATAATGCTGAAGTCAGGGCTTTTAGTGTGCCTGCCATCAGCATCGTGTACATTGGACCCAATAGGCAAGTTTTTATCCCTCACTCCCTTCCCACCCTCCCCCATTCTTAGTTTCCAATGTCCTTTACACAACTTTATGACCACGTGTATGAAAGGAGTGTTTTATATGTGCATGCTGCAAAACAGCAAAGAAAATGTGTCCTTTTTTAAAAATGCTAAACCTTTCATAAAGACTTGATAAGGCAATAATTATTTTCACATGAACATCTGCTAAAAAACATATTTTCAATAAAAATAAACATTTAAAAGAGTTGGAATGTTTTTATGAACTTAAATGTAGTTATGGTTTTAAAAGATTATCTCTTGGTGCTCTGGCTTCTACTCTTTGGTTTTCTATCCTTGGAAACATTCCCAACCCTGGAAACATTAGCGAATATTTTACTGCCTCTTCCCTCTCTCCTCAAGCCTAAATCTCCTTCCCACTTCATTCCTGTCCCACAGAAAAACCTATAGAAAATACATCAGCCATTTGCTTTTATTATGCTACAGAAAGTAACGTGCTGTTGACACAGGACGAATTTAAGCCGATCTTTCACCAACAATCTGTTGGTGGCTACTTTCCTGTCTCCAGTGGTTGGGTACTGCTGAGTGAAAGAGTCGACCCCCAAAATTCATAATAAGTCTTTCACTTTCAGCATGTTCTTTTAGAAAAAGAAAACAACAGAAAATCCCTCGTTTGACTAACTCCTTGCCTCCCACTGACAACACCCCAAAATAAAAGTCATCCTATTAGAGTTGCACCTTTTTTATGGGGAAAAGTTCCATACCATGGCTTGAAATCAGGACAGCTCTGGCACATTCTATGCATACAAACGAAACTGTCAAACTGATCTTAAAGCCATAAAGAAGAGACCACTGGACAGAATTTACTTTCCTTTAGCCAAGGGCTCTTTTCACTTTTGTGTCAAGTGTAATTTCCTCCTAAAGAGCTTTAGCCTCTGAAACAATATAATCAAGAGGGACATCAGCTAGAGTTTGGATCTGTCAAGAGTGGTGAGCGGACAAACAGGGGAGCAGCTCCAACTTCCCCTGAAAT